TGTATGCATAAATACTTCGGAAAATTAAGGCTTCACAACCGAAATTAACTTGCTTCGTTTTTAACTACTTGTAAGTAGTTAACGAATTTATTTCAATTTTGCAGGCTGAAATATGAGCATGATAAACTGTGCAAATAGCGAACCACAAATTTCTTTTCGGAAAATTACATTTAACAGGTTAAAGCTCACTTAGGAAGACTTGAAGTTAGAATGCTAAGTTTGTATGCAAAATATTGGTTAATGAAGAGTAGATTTTTTCAGTATAACTGTGCTACTTTCCACTCACTGCATGTGAAAATCAATGGATGCGTCATACTTCATCTCAAAAATGAAAAATTTTCTAGTTCGAGGCCTATAATTAAGTTCCGTCATAGAAGTATACTGAGTTGGACGTAAGGAGGGTGTCGTGGGTGCATACTTCCAAGAAGTCCCATATTTGGACGAAGCAACTGTCCAGTGCTTCAACGTTTCCAATGTTTCTCTAACTGATGTCAGTCCGTGACGAATACCAACCTAAAATCAGTAAATAAATCTCCGCAAACCTCCTGATTGATTAATAGTGAACCGTCTTAGAAAGGTCTGTTAACTTCAAACCTAAAAGACAAGATCATTAACCTTTGTTCAGCCTTAAGAATGGAAGTGATCATAATGATCGCTAGTACTGTTTTTGGTTGTCATAGATTTAAGAGAGCAAGCACAACTATTGCACAGGTTGTGAATACAGTAGCTTTATCTGATGCTCTTTCGTTAGCTGACCAACTTTGACCTTTTGGTCTTCAACCTGTAGAACCCAATCAATTCACACTATTCAGGCCTGACTCTTTTAAAGTCTTCTTTTACTTGTCAAGAATTTGTTAACTGATGATTAGACTACCTGAAGAAACTTCACATATTTCAGTTCAGAGTGTGTATCTTTTTAGATACCGTTTCATCCATTAGTAACGGGCACTTGACTGCAAAAACAGTAAGGGAATTTATCTCAATTATGAACAAGAAGTTTGTTTAAATGTGGTCATAGCTTTGACTACACATACCTAGTTAGAAAGTAATTCAGAAGCTACGAAGATTAATTTAGCGAACTTTCTATATGATCCCGATAATTCAGTGGAAAAGCTTTTCACTACAGCATTGGTTGATTTAGGTTCAAATCTCAGGAGGGAAATCAGTTCCACCAAGGTTGAATATAAGTCTTCCTGACGAGAGACAGAAACCCCAAAACTTTGGTTCGGGGCTCCCTGCCGATTTCTGAAAGCCAACTAACATCGAACTTGCATGCATCAAGTTATAAAACTGGTGTATTCAAACCAGCCTTTTCTTTCCGCCTTTATCAGTTCGGCGGATTTTGCGCAGTAAGTTACGTCATTAGTTTTGCTGCTCAGTAACACCTCGAACTGTGGTTAAACGTGGTATACTGAGGGAAATAAGTAGCTTGATATTTGTTCAATTAATCCCTATGAACTGTAAAAAAAACACTGATCACTCAATTTTTTAGTTTGTCATATCCTAACTAATGTGTAAAAGCTAGCAGTTAGTGAACACTGTAAACAGTGAAAACAACAGAGTTTCGGTTGAAGTAATCTAAATTTTATGTACAAGAAGGCAACTACAACAATTATGAATACCCGACCAGCTTTGAAATCTAAGAATCCCGAAGAAGCCTACTCCACCTGAACTGTAAACTACATTAATATTTGCACATATTTTCTCACTTTTCTGTCCACACACATTCGCACCAATTGAACTTTTGATTCCGTAGATTATGTTTGTTTGTCCGCACTATCATCAAGATTTACATACGAAACAGTCTACTACATTTACTTTCTGTTTTAGTTGTGTTTAATAGCACGAAATTCATAGACGAAGTGTGATCAATTCATTTTAAGCATTAGTGATAATCATTGATGTCTAAAAAACTCACTGTCAGTTATAATCATCAACTTTGAACAAAAATAATGTCACTCAGAAAACTGATTATAGTCATCTAGTGTCACATGGTACATTCTGGCATTCACACAAGTATTGTAAGATGAATTCCACAATGTTTGCTTCTCACGTTTTCTTTCACAAAATTCTTACTTTAAGTGAACCTTAGGACTATTTGATGTCAGAGAGTAAGTAACAAATAAATTCCATTGTTTTTAAAATGCATTGAGCTCATTATAAAATTATATGTACATTTAACTAACCATCGAATATCAAGAGGAAGTTATCGAAAGGAATAATTATTTTATTCACCGGACTGTGTTATTATTATGAAATGAATTATCAACAAAAGGAGGTGGTTAGAGATATATACCGATATCTGCCCACCAAGTTTGTGATTTAACAGTGGAATGTTTTGGGGCTAGTTTTCATCATGAATTTATTTGTTTATCCCTTGGGTTCCTAGTGGAACATAGGGTTTCAGTAGCGCGCCTCCTTTGCACTCTATTCTCCGCTGTCCTTCCAACCTGGCTCCACGACTTCCCAGAAGCTTTCATTTCTTTCTCACAACATCTCCTCCACGTCACCTTCTCCTCAAACTCCCAACTTGTCGCTTCCCATGCAGGTTCCATTTGACGGCCTGGCGTGGTGCGTCATGTCCCCAATCTGTCCTCTCAGTGTGTGTCTAGGATGATGCAGCTTAATGTTTTGCTTGGTGTGGACAGCAGCATGATTCCACGTCATTTTTTGCGAAGACTTATGTCTCCTTTTTTCTGGAAGTTTGACCAGTTAACCTTTCTTCTAATCTGCAGGTACCTTTCCTCCCATCCTCCAAAATCTTCTGTATTAGTTTTGTGAGCATGGGCACTATTGTCTCTGCATCTGTTTTCAGTGCATCCGGAGGAATTCCATCTGGTCCTAGTGCTTTCCTGGATTTCAGGAAATTTATGGACTTCGGCTTTTGTTGGAGGGCAGGTGTTCACTGATTGTTCTGTGGCTGGGCTGGTGATGGTATTTCTGGGCGAGTTGCAGGTGGTAGTGGAGGTGGTCGATTCAAGAGTTTTTCCATGGGGTCAGCCCATCGTTTTCTTTGTTCCTCCTCTTTGCTAACTAGGTTTCCTGCACCATCTTTCATTCTTTTCATCTGTGTTGGTCTCTTCCTAGATAGTATTTTGGTCATTTGATATAGTGTTGTAAGGTCTCTTCTACCAGCAGCCTGCAGCCTATTCTGCTTCACTTGCCAGTGTGCCGTAGGAGTGTCTTTTTGTCTTTGAGCGCACACTTCACTTCTTTGTTCAGTGTTTTATACGTTGTACTCAGCTTCTCTTTTCGTTGTTCATCCCTGTACTGGTTGATCTTCTGCTTGACCATCACTATCTTCCTTTCCATCCTCTATCAGCTTCCATGTATCCGTCAAGATACATTCATTGTCCTGTCTTCTTTGTTCTTCCTTCCTAATATAATTATGCAGGTTTACCTCCACATATCTTTCAAAGAGTTCCAGTATTCTTCCACGCAGGTACCTTCAAGAATGTTGCCTAATGTCTCCCGTTTTGTCCTGATGACTGACGTGAAGATATTCTTTATAGTTACGTCCCTCAGTGCAGTTTGTGTTCTGGGTGTTGAACTTGAACTGTGATCTATCACTAACTTCACTGAAGGTTTTCAACTTAATTTGAGAGGTTTCTTGCACTAGATAGTGGTCCGGACCACCTACATCTCCTTTTCTTCATCTTGTGTCCAGTAAGCTGCGTCTCCACTTTCTTCACATTGAGATGAAGTCGGTCTGATTTTAACTGTGTCCATCTCTTGAAATCAAATCCATGTCACTGCCTTGTGAATATCCTTTTGTTTGCACACACTGCCCCCAACTACCAAATCGTTGAATGCGCAGAAGTCTGCAAACAGTCCTCCATTCTCATTTATTTCACCGAGTGCCTCTGGACCCAAGGTTGGTTCTCTTCCTGTGTTGTCCGCTCCCAGTTTGGCATTCATGTCACCCCATCTATTAGAATTTTGATATCACCAACTGGATTCTTGTCCAGTACTGATTGCAGTTGTTTGTAGAATTCCTCCTTCTTCTCTTCATCTACACTATTTGTAGGTGCATAGTATAGGATTGTATGCTTGTGACTTTCCTTTCTTTTGAGTTGAATCTTGCTGTCGTAATCCAGGGTAGTTTTCATGTTTACTAGTAATCTAGCACTGCATTGTATGGCTAGGTGCTAAAGAAGAGTTTGCTGGAAAGTCTCTCTATTGGATACTGGAGGAAACAGCGTTGAACCTTCAGTAGAAAACAAATTTCCATAATGATAGGCACCAACAATCATAAAGCAACATGCAGAGCTTCCAAAAGATTAACTCCTGTTAGCTACCAGAAAAGAATTTACTCAAATTAATTGGTTGTGTGTTCTCGTGGCGCTTTAACACTTATTAACACTTTTTAGTCTTGTACTGAACCACTGCAAAAGCTGACGGTTCCACATAAAAGAGAGTTAATGCGTAATTTACACCGTAAATCATGAGTAGATCATGTGTGAGGAAACGATAACACACTAAAGTATCCAGGAAAAATATTTGATATATGAAAGATTACTGTCTCAACTCTGCTAAAACGCTGTAACTTAAATCTCAGCTATTCCGCAATACACAGCTTTAATTGGCTACTACTGACTACTCAAACTGTAGTGTAGGTTGTGATGATTATTCTGCCATATTCGTTGTGTCTTCCTCTCATTTCCTGTGTTTTGATAGCATGATATTATCGAACTTAAATGATTACATTTTATTCTAAAGATATAAAAAGCTAAAGGCTGTTCAGCATTATTCAACCTTTCATTCTCAAACTTTTGGGGATACTGTAGATAACTAGGGCTAAAACTATTAAAACAGTCATTCTCAGAAAAGATTGTTTCAATTTTGATCCTGAAAACAACAGACTAGTTCATGCTATTCAGGAACATATTCTAGTTTTAGTGAGATGTCATCATTTGCGTTCATCATTTTGAGAAGTATAGACTTGGATACATTTTCGAATTTTGGCTATTTTAAAAACATTTAGAAAGTGAAAAGAATTTAACTGCAAGTACATTTTTTACTGAAACAAAGTAAATCAGTCAACAATACCATAAATGAACTTCTGTTCATAGTTCTACAGATGTGAAAGTTTATGAGTTCTTAGATGATTATATGGTAGTTAACTAGCAAAATAAAAGTAAAAAAAGTATCTTCATAAAATTATTTTATTTGTGGTTAAAAATTAATTCACAACAGTGAAAAATGTATATTTTACCCCAACAAACGGAAGAATAGGTGAATAATTATTTGAAATTGAAGCCTTTTCCTGACATGTACTTTATATCCCCAAACCGATAAACCTACACTTGAAAATATGTAGCCAAATTGTGATCAAGAAGTTATGACAGTTCTTGAAGGCAACAGAAATAAAGATTTTTCAGGTAAGTTGAAGAAAAACAATCAAACAACTAAGATGTACATAAAAATATGCACTTATACTCATCAACCCAATACACAAACGTAGAAAGAGTGACGGGAACAAACGATATGAAGTAATAAACATTTCGAAACCATTGGAAGTTGAAAATTGAATATTATTTTGATGGAATAAAATTAGTTTCCGAACTTTCTGAAAGAGGGACTCTCTCTTGTTTATCAGTTGCTAATGTTGAAAGCTTTTTCAACATTATATCTTATTGTTCGTAGAGTTTAAGAAACTGCACACCGACTATCACGTTTTAATTTCAAGTATTCAGGGTCGAATAAATGATTTCCTTCACCCAAATAACGCATTTTATAGTCTTTTGCACGTTGTTCCACTACAGAAATCGGCAGGCTATAAGCTATAACCTTATGTTTATCGTGAATAAGAACCTAAAAAAGTAATTGTAAAATTAGTAGGCGTTAAACTATTGATATTATTATTAATTATTATGGTCATTCAATAGTTGTAAGCTTTTCGTAAAAATTTTTCTGCCTCATTAGTTAAGCAAGATAATTCTAGGTAGGTGAGTGGAGATTTCCTCGCTTGTTTAGGTGAATTCATTCGTCTTGAGTCAATAAAACTGTTTCAAATAATGACGCGGCAGTTACTGCGTGCAGAGAAAGCATTTTTTCAGGTACTTAAAAACATTTGGGAGTAAGGTGAGAATATGGAAGTTATCCGAAACGTGTAAGTTGTAGGCATTCTACACTTCATACAGTCTGACAAGAGATGAAATTGCCAAATTATGTAAATAAAAGTGGTTGTTTGTGAGGATTTATTAGTTACAAAGCAGATACACAAAACCTACTGGTATCACTCGGAAGATCACTGGGAATGTAGGGTAATTGAACATCTGCTTCTTCCTAGTTAGGGACTGTTTAACAGTGTGCACCAATGGGCATAGGAGAAAATGCACCTACAGCCATAAGATCCCGGCGGAAACACGTTCATTTGTTCAGTTGCAATATGATGGTTCATATTTTTTCACTTCTCTCAGTCTGAAGTATAACGCAGTCAACATCCAATGCCATTACGAAATTTTTGTGCTTAAAATTGATGGTTTCGTGGTCGATCAAGAACAGGAAAATGTCTTTGCACCGTTTAGGAGCCAGCTGTGTTCAGACTATGACGAAAAACTATGTGTTTGTTCTGCCCCTCGAAAAAGTATTCTATTTCTTATGAAAATTGGGTCGTTTAACTCACTTTTGCATGTTAGTATGATGCAGATGTTTTCTTGGAGACTGAATACTGATGAATAAATCTCGGTGTCAAATTAATTTTAAAATTACAGATGAATTTCTTTGGCCACACATTCTCCACCATTATTGTGGTTAGTTTGGTTCCCTATACTTTTGTTTCTTTTGCGCTCAGTCATGCCGAACAAATGTTTAGTTAGGCCACGTTTGTACTGGAGAAGAAAACAATTATGGAAACTAAGATATTGTGTGATTCAAGTTGGTTTTCTGAGAGCAGCCTCCGATTGAACCATCCTACTTCTACGAACCAATATACAAGTCTACTAGATTATGAAAAGGCTTTTTCATCTACCCTTATAGCTATAAGTCGATGAAGACAGGTCAAACACAATGGCCAGTAAAAGATACAGTGAAATTATTTCACACCTGAAAAAGTCACTGTTGTGGGTGAACGGAGGTGATACTTTTGTCTATGATACAAGCAAGATGAACTTCAGGACTCCTATGACCGTCCAATGAATTACACTAGTCATGAGACATTTAACATGTAAGAAATAATCAATGATGACCATGGTAATTGCAGAAATGAGTTTTGTGATCAGATGAGACATATTTGGCGCAAAATGCCATCATGTTGGGCGAAGAAGAAGAAAGGAATGTTATTTTAGGCTGGTTGTGTACTGAAAAGCAGTCATAAGTTGGTAAGAAGTGGATAACTACTACCACAAGGTTTCCAAAGCTAAGCCACATATTCATAGGTTATTTTCACTAAAACTGACTAGGCAGCTGGTAAAATTTACACAAGACCAGGATACAAAGTAATGCATAAAGTTGTTAATCCGCATACTTAGACTTTAATGGCTTTCTACATTATTATTTATCTTTCAGATGCGTAAAATTTCAAATTATTACCTTGGTCGACGATTGCTTGTATGAATAAAGCTAGCTGAATACTGCTTTTTGAGGTTGCTACTTTTCTTCTAACAGAAACAACTTAATAAACGTATTTACTTAGTGCCAGTAGTATTTAACTTTTCCACAAAAAATAAACTATTATGTCAACCACTTTATGTTTTCTGGGCTAGATTATGATACTTGAAATATTAAAGCTCAGAAAAAATCTGGTCTCAAGTTTCTAATAGTAAGCTATAAGTTTTTTCCACTATTTCAAAGTATTCTCAGGAAGATATTATGATAATCTGAACGCAGAAGAGTCATTTATTCAAGTTCTGATTTTCATTTAACTTACCCTGACGTAGTATGTAATCTTGAGTGCTTCTAAGCAACTCTGTGGCACTGAATTGACAGGTATGCCTAGAATTAAATGACAGCCAGCTCTACGAGCATCCCTGGGTAACTCCTTGTAAGAAATATCTTGTAGTGTTCTTTGAGATTGATCTCCCGAATTCAATGATTCACAAGATACACGGAAATCACGATAGTGGTTTGGTAAATGTTGTAAGTCAGAGAACAATCGTCCACTTTCAGCTTCAGCTGCTTCAGAAAATGGTAATGGAAAGTTTTCAATGAAAGTAGCCTTGTCAGAATGTGCATCAACAAATACATTAGGAGGATATTTTTTCAGTTTATATAACGCCTTTGTATCAGAGACTTTTAATCCAGGTATGTGAAATATACGAAGTAAGTAGGCTTCAGCATAACGAATACCAGTTGGGTCGTCGGTAAATATGTAAATATTGATATCATCAGAGTCCTGTAAAACCACACTGTCGATCTGAAAGTAGAAAATTAAAATGGAGATTAACTCAAGTTTATAGACTGTTGCCAAAAAGAAGAAAATTCAAAGCAGAACAATATCACTTCGTTTAATGAGTGAAATCCAGCTTATTGCATCGCATCTTGATAAACTAGTAGGCGAACAATTGTGCTAAGAAGATTACTCAGTAACTTTATTGAACAATTAGTGCTATGTGAATTTTCCCGAATCGGATGTTACTTTATACCCCAACATAGATACAGACTGTTTTCGTACAGTAGCGAGGTCTACTTTGGTTGATTAAAATTATGTTTTTAAACAGCTGTCTGCACATGCATCCTGAATTATGGCACCTATTAATGTACTGCACTTCGCAGCTTCGAATAAAAATTATCTATATGTGACGATATGGATTACCAAATTGACCAGTTTCCGTAGCCTTTGACACCTGAAGTACTTTGAGCAAGGCGATCTCTACGAAAGTGTGTCTTAAAGGTCCATCTGTATCTTCCAGTAAAATTAAAAATACTCCCCCCCCCCTGAAAAGATAGATGATAATTCATCTATATATGGCATAACAGTGTGCACTAGTGGACTAGTAAGTAACCAGTCACTTTTAGTCGGTTGTTTTGCCACTGTGCATACGTTTCGGATAAATATTTTGATGGTTAAATCTCTGACATCTGAGAAGCCTGTAACTTTTTTTGTTGACTGGCAGGGTGACTGTATCGGTACTTCAATCGACTGTTCACTAACTTGCATTTTAATATCTGTGAAACTCTTTTCTAATCACTGTCTTCCGTTTGCCTAGGAACTTAACATTTCTTAAGAAAATCCAAACTTACGCTTCTCAGTAAACCTTAATTTATGAAGACATATTTCTGAATATTTAATCCCTTGTTTTACTACGCTGAAGGACTGCTACTTCTCCCATGAACTTCACCCCTTTTGTTGACATCTGTTCTGCAAATGATGATTGACTTGCCACTCTATGACATTATTTTCTCCAATTTTATGCACGTATGCCGGATACAGTTCTCGTAAGGAATTTATGACCTGGTGTTAACCTCGAAGATTTTATTCATATGTCATACCTCAATATATATTTCTGGTGCCATAGTTAGCCTAAGAAATAATGATGTCTTGAAACCACCTTTCATTTTCGAGTCCCTATGAAAAGCAAGTGTTGTCTTGTTTCCTCCAATATCCTAAAAATACATTCTTCATAACCTCCTCTGTGTGAACAAAGCATCTTACTGTTTACCCATGAATCAGTAGGTACAAGGCAAGTCATGAGTAAACCCCCTATCCAGTCCAAGTCATAATCTTCGCTTTGATTTTGAGTCACTCAGTGGTCAACACAGTGCAAGAACAGATCAGTTAATTTTCCATTATTGCAGTCATTTCATTTTTCTTTAATGATCAAACGTTAGTTGTCACTTTGAACATGCAGTTACTCTTCTGATGGATTTTTTTAATTCGAAATTTGTTCTGTACTTTGTGGCTGATGTTTGTTTTTTAGGTGCAGATCAATTACAATAGCATTGTTACTTGTGAATGATACAGTCGATACCAGAAACCTCAATAAATATCTGTCATATCGTCGTTCACCTTTTATATCCCAGAGGACGAAACAATTTCAATGCAGTTAAACTACTATTGGTACTAGATGATTCTGGAAATTTTAGATGTTTATATAAAGTTTGGCATTTCTAACCAAAAAGTGAGCCTACAGTGGAAGCACCAAGGATGTGGCATTGTCTGTTTCAAGTTGCTTGGAAAAAACAGCTTTCAGCCTTGTCAGAGTCAAATAGGAGAAATACTCTATCTAAATCAAAATCTCAGAGCTTAGATATCTCGAAAGAATGTCATAAGTAGTATTTTAGAACTCTAGCAGATGCGAATTTAGAATAAACCACTCAGGAGTAATGACAATAATGAATATACGATGAACAATAATTTGTTTCGGTGGTTGAAGCGACACTTTTTTTAAAGATACAAAAGAACCACTTAACCTCTTAGGCTTAAGATATTGACTGCCAATAATAGGGACAATGCTTATTACTCCAGCGAAAAGAATTTTAATATATACCCCTAATTTTGTATAACTTCCTCCTGATGTTTGGCTATAACCTTAGAATTACTTATCATTGCTGTTTTCATGCCGTTGATAGTTTTTGTTTTCCCACTGCTGTGAGAGCTGAGCTGTCATCGGCTGTTAAATCTTTTAACCTAAATGTTGATTAAGTGTTGTCAAGTTCGGTTAGGAATATATATATTCACCATTGCTGTCGACTGTTTCGACTGTTGTTGAGACATTAAAAGCTCTCTGGCAATGGTCTGTCTTCTCTTCTTGTCTTCAAGTGTCGATGGCATTGTTGTGGTTGACGTTCCCATTAGCGTTTAGAGTCATTTCGTTTACGCACTAGGTTTCTATCGCTAGTAGACGTTAAGTTGCACCACTGGCCATAACAAATTTATGTGAATCCTGCTCAAGATTTGAATGGGATATTTCACAAATATTGGGCGCAGAGTGAAAAATTGGCATTAAATATAAGTTATATTTGGGCAATTTTTAGCGTGTTTGAAATAATAGATTCCAATTAGGAAGTTCGGTCCCAGCTTCTTCAGGGAAATGTCAAACACACTGAAATTTTTTCCAAATATAATTTTTTTATAATGAAAACAACTTATTTGTCTGTGCTTCGACTAAAAACTCTTGTTCTACAAGCACCTTAGCTGCTGTAATCAGTTGAGGCATTTTTTATATGGTATTTATGATCAAAATTTGACCAATCAGTACAGATGACTTTTGCTAATAACTTGCAACCACATGGATAATAAACTTACGCTTGTTCCTTAAGAATAAATTGTCAAAGATTTTAATGTCTAAAATAATTTTGGAATGTAAAATATTTCAAAACTAAATAGAAGTACAGTGTTATATAAAACTTACTTGAATTAACATTTGCCTGTTCTGCATTGTAAATGTTTTCATAATTGCTGGTATACGATCACCATTCGATAACTGATGATCAAGTGGGCCACAACTAACCACCTTGAAATTTAAATTCTTAGAATTGATAGCTACTGATTCGTTTTCTTCAGGATGATTAAGTCTCATTGTAGCATAGATAAAATACCTATAGGAGTATAAGAATATTGAGAATAAATAGATTTATTAGTTACCTAAAAGTAAAAGCTTTTACATCAGGACATTTTTAGATAGAAGCGAATTCATAAAAATACATTTAAACGAGTCATTTAGTTGTACTTAAGTTCGATACTTTCATTCAAAATTTGAAAATGTTCTAATGGTTTATCCTCTTTGAAATTTCATTGCAACCGAAAACTATCAGACTAAATGTTAGTAGGGTGATTTAGCTGGTTTAAGTAGTCTAAACTAACAATGAATAGAGCGATGTCAGTGAACAATTATCCTGAGTACCGGTGGGCATTTTGTCACTAGCCAAATGTCAGTTAAAGTGAGCACCCCCTAACAGCTGTTACTATCTCCTAAGACTGAAGTTGTCACTGATATATCACAACATTTTCTGTTATGAACAGGAAAACACTTAGTTTACTTTAGTGTTTTAAAGTGATTCAGAGCAGAAATGATGTGATAACTTACAAATGACTCAAAGACATTATAAGTTTTGTGTTCTACTTTGACTGAAGCATGTTCTCTAAAAATGTGAAAAGTTTAAGGTTTCTTACTTGAACAGAAATATGGTCATATAATGTTGACGAAAAAGAGGACATTTTGAAAGAGTTGTTCACCAGTCTTCAATGCAGACGGCTGTTTGGATTATACTGACCTGTAACTTTCAATCTCACCTATCGACGGACTTATGGGAGAACTGCTGTGCCTAGTACTCACAGAGATGCTCTAGTTACAATTTACCATAGACATCTCTCTTTAACAGCATGAAATAACCTTGTTTAACAATAGCCTATATTAGATTTCTAAGTTACCATACTATCTACAACTAAACATCTCATAGAATGTTGATTCAAAACTGATGTCTGGCTAAATCATTTTCAGATTTCAAAGTTACTGTAAGATGCTTGCAACATGAAGGGAAAACGCTTGAGAGATTAAATGAAATGATTTGTAAAGAGTCGCTAGGACACCATATTTACAAGCAAATGCATATCACAAAAGATGATACTGAGGTATTCACGCTTATTGTCAAGCGAAACTAAACATATCCCGGAATATACCACTTAAATTACTCTAGGTGTTCATGACTGCCAACATTAATACTTATACAACATCAGTTTGAAGTAACCTATGAAATCAGAAATCTCTGGGAAGTCGTTAATTTCAACAGAACAGCTTCTCAATTGCTAAATCACCTTTACAAATCATAAAAAGCATTAAATAATAAGAAAGATATCCAGTGTATGGTTATAATGCACAAATATCAACCCTTTTTGTTCGCTTTAAAGTCTACTTCAATGCAAAAATCTTTATGAAAATTTTAAGAAATTTGTTAGAAAGAACAAAAAGACAACTGAATGGTCATTGTTTTCTATACAAAAAGTCAACTAAATATTCTTCCGCAACCTTAGTCCAGGATAGTTTCATTCATAATTCATTGGTCTTTCGCTAACCTTTGTCAGACAAAATGTGACTGGTAGTTTATTATTGTAATATAAGCCATGGTCGAAAATTTTCTTATTAGCATCTTTTTGGTCCATTATTAACCGGTTTCTGGGAGGACTATTTTTGTGTATAATTCTTTGCAATTGTCGATCTAGTAAAAAGCTATGTAAACAGCTACGTTTTCAGCTAGTTTTCACCTTTTCCCAAATTGTTAAATCTTGCCTTCCTGTCCTTGTTTTTCATCACTCACATAAGTGTGGGGACAGTGTTTTAGTAATCACTATTCAGTGTCGTACACTAAAGTACTGTAGGTGTATGACAATAGTTCCTAATTCATAGACTACTGATTAAGAAAAAGCTCCCAGTCAAGTCTTATTTGATTACATCAAAGTTAATCTCTGTTGAGATAAATCAGCAGATAGCTGATACGCCAGTTACGTCAGTTAATCTTAAAAACAAAGTGTGAGAACTCTTATCCTAAAAAGGAAAAAGCTCATATTGCCAGCTGACTAGTTATAATGGACCATTTAAATTTTTCCTTCATTTTGTGGGATGTTGTACTGCAGCGACAAAATAGTAAGTGAAACAACCCATAGAAGTTATGTCCAGCTCTATTACTATATACTGGTGATTGACTTTTTCATGTCTACGTGTATAAATTTCTCAATATTTTGCAATTTCTGGTCCGGAAGGTTATAACTCTCTGAACGCATTTCAGTCAGTTATATTATTGCCATTATGTTGTATATAGACGTCATCAAACAGCCTAATTTCGTGCAGTCCCGTTCATACTGCACAGCGCATTGTGAGTTCATTTCGACATACATAGAGTTTAACCTTACCTGTGCACGATTTCTACTTCACCTGATATGCCAACTTTTCCGCGCAATAATATAGACGGATGTGCATTACCTTCAAGTGGAAATGCGAAGGGAATAGCATGATCACCTGGTGCAAGTAAAACAGGTCCGGTATATGGTGAAAAACATGGATCGCTGAAATCAGCTTCTTTAATTGGAGACTGCATAAATTCTGGTTGTTGGTAGGTAAATTTACGTAGCGGGGCTCGTTTTCCGATTGATTTGTCATCGGATAGTACGGTGTATGATATTGGTATACGTTTCTAAAATAAAATGACTGAAGATTAGTTCGATGCAAAGCTTACATGAAATATGCAAGTGCCTCTAACAAAAGTGCCTTGAATTAGGAACTGTATACTTGAGCATGATAACCTTTATAAAAGCTACAATGTTAGTTTGCAAGTTATTGACTTATAAAACGATGGAGTGATACAGTACTAGGCACTTCGAAACAGGGACAAAAGGTGTTTTCACCTTATATAATCATCTAACTGGAACCCAATATCAGCCAATACTTATTAACCACCAAGAAATTGACTAATGATATATTCTTTCAACGTATTATAGCATGGATACGATATTGGATTGAGATTTAAAATATTTCACCTATTCAGAGAAGTAACTTTCTGTTTCCTTCAAAAGTTATGATGTGAGCAACCTAGATGGGTCATAGAGTGAGCAGATTTAGTGTACTCGAATGTCAATCGTCTCTACTTGTGACAATCTTGAACACGCCATCTGCTCAACATACCCGCCTATGCACTTATTTCTTATAAACAGTCAACTAACTTTCAAAGCACATAGGTAACGTGTTTTCTTATCATAAGCTGGTGTGGAGCAGTGAGTTACAGGATTACTTGGCCTATAGTAGTTGGCAACAATGAATGTACAATGTTTTTATACTCAAGTATATAGTTACTAAAGTTCATAATTTCACTGCTACTGTTCAAACTTTGGTACAATGTTTTGAAAACCTTTTGTTAGTGGAATAACTAAATATCCGTGCAGCAGCCAGAAATGTAAGCTAATGTTAAACTACAGAAATGATTATTAACTGAGCGTATGCACTAATCAATGTTTTCTATGTTTTCTATCACCTTGTTATAATGCTAATCACCGTACTTTATTGTGGTAGGTACAACGAAAGCTAACAAGATGTTTTAGTTTCAACCTTCCTTTGGCTAAATTTGAAAACCACCCTTGTCGGCAAGAATGGTAGATTTCGGTTCCTGGGGTATTTGTGACTTCATCTTCTATACCTTATAGTTCACCGTCATTTAACAGCTAACTTATGATGGCAGAATAATGGTTACGGAACCGGTAATGTAATGTTTGACACTACCAATTAGTAAATGCCATAACTTACAACTCCTGCCTTATAAGCAAAACAAGTGAACAAGAATACCGAATACGTTACAATATTTACCCAGTAATGGGTATCCTGTTTATTGTGGTTTGTTTAAACAATCAAAATGAATCGAATAATAGGTAAGGAAGAAGTGTAACTATAACAATTTACCTCCATATCCTGTTTCTCATCTGCAGATAACGTTTTGGTGATCATTTCAACAGTAACAGTTAACGTCTGCAGCTTCACTGGCTTCTTAGTCATAATGTAAACAACACCACGTAATGCACCACCAGGAACTACAGCTGAGTCAAGTAAGCGTAGTATAACACGATCCACGGAATCATTCAGTGTACCAAACTGGTTGGACACACTTACATATTTCTGCTCAGGCGTGTCAGTCAAATCCACCTTTTTAGAAATAAAACTGTCATTATATCTAGGTGCGGATTGACATACAGGAGCAGTATGCATTTTCACTGCAAATATGTATAAAACAAATAAGGAAGAACTTGAACGACACAAGAATGAGTAAAAATAAACTGAAAAGTTCATCGTATCTCATTTGTACATTCCATTGACAAATTCTATCTTACTCAGCGACATAATAACAATTGGGGCTATGAGCTAAAGAATACATCGTAGACATTGAACTTAAATTTTTCATTGCCTTTTATTCACACAACTAAGTGTAAGCTACTGAATAGTTATAATCAGTAGCATATCCATTATCAGTTTGACTATCTGGGATAGACGTAGTTTGGCAGACTTGTATTGATACTGGGTTATGATTGAAAATGAAGTAAAAATCTGAGCTATGGCGGGATTTGAACAACCGACCACTGTTGGTTGCCATTTCAGGAAATGCGGATGAAAATATGCAACTTTCATGAGCTATAATGTGTAGCAAATAAATTCCTAGTACAAATTATCAATCATGAATCCATCCGTAGATTTTAGTTTTTACAGCAGGGTGAACTTTATATGTAAATCACTATTGATGAAGACGTACAGTTTCCATTAAACTCTTTTTTAATAAAGTACTTCTCAACGACCAACTCTTTCCTAGGTTAGGTTCTACAAGTGAAAACAAGATGAAGAGAACTTCATCGGATGAATAAAACACAGCTTCAACTTATGGGATTAATTTCTTTCCATGCGCCAAATATTTTCTACTTAGAGAAATCATTTTGCGACTAATTTCACCCGATCTTCGTTCATATAATCACAGGACTACTAGTATGCAGCGCTTCTGATTTATTATGGTTTCGATGATGGAATGTTATCATCCCTCTTCAGAAAACTTCCAGGTACTTAAATCTGTCGCCTATTAGTCAGTGGCTTTCACTTATTTCAATTTCATATCTGACTGTATACTAAGAAGCTTTGACGAGTGTCTGATTCAAAAAATATGAATCAGTTTAACAGAACCACTTGTTTCTCCGTAAAGGCAGAAATATTATTTTTAATCATAAATATATTCTGATAATTAATAATAACATGGTTTTAACCTGTTCCTATACAAAAGTGGACCGCGTTCTATAAAACAGTGAATATTTTTAAGTTGCCAAATACCCTAGAGCGATTGAATGACAATATCTTAAATAATCGATAGTTTATTTCATTTAATTGGCTAATGCCACACTGCATAATAAATTTTCTTACAATAGTTTACTAACTTGCAAACTAGCTCCATCAAAAGTCAAAATACTAAGGTGTCTGAGTAAGAATTTGTGGCCTGATTCCAAAAACCTTGATAAACGCATTAGTCTCAAAGTAGAATGAAATAGTACTGTGTCATCATTCTATTTTCATTATTTCTTGGATAAAAGTAAATTTCATAGACAGTTGAATCATACTAAGTAATTTCGATAAAAAGCACATTTATTGTCACCTCATACATAGATGAAATAAAGTTGATGTGTTGTGCGGTTTAATTAAAGCTTTTTTGCATGACATTTCTTTACAGTTATATCAAGAAAATATTTTCACCGGAAAAACATTAAAAAATTTTATGGAATGTGAAAACTTTGCAAGTGGTCCGAGATAAAATATAAACAAGCGACTAGTAAAGAAAGCATTTAAGAAACATATGTACGAAATAAAGAAATTCAACCTACATGGCATGACATTTTCACGGATTTCACCTTTCACAAGATCCCTCCTAAGCTTCGGTGGTTTAGCATAAATTAACTGTACTTTCGGTTTATGGCTCATAAGCGGTGAATCTTCTATGCTGTAGTTTTTGTATGACTAGACATAAAAATTATCGAAAAATTATCAATTTTATTGGGTTAATTGTAAATAAGTAGTACTAATTATTCAAATGGTCAAACACTTTAAAAAAGTGGTGACTAGTTTGTAATTTCAAGATGGGAAAATAGTCATAACAATAAACTTCACATGTGGAATAAACAAACTGGCATGATCAACAGGCAACTTAAATGACTTCAAGTAAACCGATACTTAGATATCGGTCCAACACATTATTTTGCACACTGACAGTTCTGTTGGGCATAGCCAAAAATATCCTAATCTCTGAAATAGAGGTTTCTGTTTAAATAATCGAATACACGTATTTTGTGTTTTTTTTATTCTTTGAATTATTTTTGAGTAATTAATCAGTTAGGAACCATAATACAATTTATGACAGGTTGTCGATGATGTGTGGAATACATATCAGTTGAGGATTGTTATTCATCTGTTTAACTGCAGACATCACAAAGTCAATCATTTCCAAACAGCCAAGAGTTTAGCCCATAGTGATAATTATTTGACTCCAGCCATTTAGTTAATCAATGAGAATTACATTCTATAGTTTAATTTCTTTATGAGTTCGAGTAAAATCATCATAACACAATCTCCAAAATTAGACAGTATCACCTACTATGATAAATTCCCTTCAGTGGCATATAATCGCCAATAAAATCATTATCAGTGAACAGAATCAAATACTATGTCAGCTTTTCAACTGAGCAAGAATACAAAATTGACCCAACTTTTTTTATTCGTGCCTAAAGCGAAAGAAAAATAGTTCAGTTGACCAGAGCAGGTGTTGTCAAACGAAGTGGAATGCATAGTCCCAAAACTTCAAGTTGTGAAAGGAGACAGATCAAAACATTTGTCAAAATATGATCTGAAGTGTCTTTATACAGCGATAGATTTTTATAATTTCCTAGAAATATGGCAAATGTAGAAACGTCGGATACCTATGAAATGTTGCTATGGAGGGTCGGTCTTCTTTTAAATGGTCTTCAAAGGAGATGATATAGCTGAATGAAATGATGGAAGGATTGAAAATATGAAGGCTTAAATACACTCAGATACTAAATTAGCAACTACATTTCAAACATGTCCTCCACTAGGCAAATAAATGATTACGAGTTACAATTTAGGCTTAGAACATCACCACGTGAATAATACTGTTTTTACTGTCGAATGTCCAATCTAATATGAAAGATATATTTCGAAATATCACTAACTTAAACTGAGTGAATAGATCCATGAGTGCTTACTCAAAAAAGTATACGTACAAAACACAGAACCTCATACTATTGGTTTGTTAAACGTGTTGTGAGAGAATATTCTTAATCTTAGAAGTGGAAAGTCGTTCAATAGAACCACAACCCAGAATCAGACAGAAAAAATCAAAGTCTTTAGAATGCTTGGCTCTCAAAACACTTCACTTAACTTAGGTTTATGCACGCCAAGTCAGTCAGAAGACAACATGATTTGTGGATTCAAAAACTGAGTCTCATGAAACTTCTATTTTCGTAATGATGGCCGGAAAAGCTATTTGTACTTTTATAGCCAACATGTTATCTTTAATCTTCTTATTTTGTTGACCCCCTATACAATTACTAACTGAATCATCCGCCTGTGATGTTTTCAAAGACAGTTTACACGCGTATACTCAATCGCATAGGAGTCTAATATATTGTCGCATAATTTACAAAATTAATCATCCCTGATCAGCAAAATGTAGGCTGATGCCAAGTTCATGTCTTATTTCTATCATTATTCTTTATGTCCGACCTCAGGTATGTAAGCGCAAACTGCACACAACCAAAGATCACATGTAGAACTAGACAATATGAAGTAAGTTACCCCCCAATGGCCAATCAACGTATCTAATCTAGTCTTATAGAAGCTCATTCACTATCCGAATATCTCAGTGTTAATGTCTCTGACTGCAGCACTGGGTAACGCATTTTTGAATCTCAAGCAAGACATGGATTCTGTAGAGCTTGAGGATACACCCGGCTGGCTATTGCCGAAAAGCACAGAACCTAGATAGAGGGCTTACTGTTGGCTGCCACCTTCAATCTCACATGTAAAGTTCACCTTCTGTGTTATTTCTTAAAGGCTGTAAACAACTGAAGGAAGTCTCAGAAATAAACCGAGATTATCTTATTCTTTGGATGACCTACTGCATAAAAAAAATTACCCTATTTCGGCTACAGAAAATCTTTGAAATAAGTAAAGTGTAAATCAATAGTTTTCTTTTTAATGGCAAATTCTGGATCACTTGGTTTTACGGTGCACTGATCAAATGACAAGTATTCCTCTTCAACAGAACATACTAGCACATATTGATTACATTATATTTCCATCAGTTACATTTACTCAACTACCTTCAAGGGTACTACTAAAAATTTAGCAGTCTTCAACTAAAATGTAATCTCATGCATTACGTTACATAGATTATCATTTTCGTGATATTTCTCACAGTGATTAGTAATACCGATAGATCACAATGAGATTGAGCTGGTTATAAATCAATGAATGGCCTCAATTATCTGTCTCCATCTGACTTTAGAAAAACCGAACAACTTTTTATTTAAATAAACAAACTTATCTATGGACATTAAGCTGCATATTAGTATTTTCTAATTAATGAGAAAGGATTTAGTTGATACTCATCCATTAATATACTATAACAAATAAAAAGTAATGGACTTACAGTCATTAAATTCTTAGAAAATTGTGGATAAAAATCTTTGTTATGATCATTGTTTTTGTCTTCTGCATGTACAATGAGAATATTAGATGACTTTAAGTATCTTTCTGAGTTCATCTAGAGATACATGAAAAAGGATTGTAAATATTAACCGACAGAAAATATTGTAATACTAACAATGATTAGCCTCTGAATCAAAAACAGCACAACGGATGTGATACATTTTTCTTATGTCTTAAATACCCTGAAATGTATATCTGTGGTCACAGAGCTAACCAATACCGAAGATAGATATTTGATTGATCTCAAAATTCCTTGCGAACTTTATCAAATAACGATGTCTGATAGTGAAAGAACCTTCATATTTACTTCATACAAGCAAAGTATGTAAAAAAAACTGAGAAATCAAAAGTGACAATCTGATTTAAAACAAATGAAGTATAAAGTAGTGATAGACAAAATACAGTGTCTGGATCCAGGATAGTTGAGAAAACATGGCTTTACAAAAGTCCTGCACCAAAAATATGATGGTGATATGTGGATGACACATTTACTGTATTAAAATAGGAACATACAACTTCCTCACACATATAAACTCAGTAGTAGGCGCAATCCAACTCACAAGGAGAATTAACTATGTTGGATTGCAAGATAAAACTAAGGACAGATGGTGGACTGGATACTACCGTCTACAGGAGACTGACACATTCAAACAGGTATCTAGACTTCAATTCATCCCATCCAATATCAGTTAAGGTAGGCCTAGTCAAATGTCTAACCTCGCCTGGTTAACTAGTTTACTAGTTACTAGCCGGTCCTAAGCCCGGGTAAAGAGGGAAGGTTGGGCATAGGGCTAGCAACCCTACCCCGTAAAACAAATCTAACCGCTAAAGAAACTTCAAAGCACAAACAAAATATAAAAAATGAAAACAAACTTATTCCCCGCTGGAATCGGAGAGGCGAAATGACGCCAGTTGGTGAAAGCCTTCGGGAAGCCAATTGGCCGATGTGTCTTCTCTCGATGAAAGCGAAAGTAAACGTGGGGACATGGAATGTCCGCACGATGTTTGAACCCAGTAAGGCAGCCCAGATTGCAAAGGAGATGAGAAGGTATCACATCGAAGTGCTTGGGATTTGCGAAAGCAGATGGAATGGGAGTGGACTCTCCAAACTGTCAACTGGAGAATCAATAATCTACTCCGGTCACCCAGACGCCAACCACGAGCACACTGAGGGAGTGGCTATCATGATGTCCTCAAGAGCATCGAAGGCTCTCATGCAGTGGGAACCAATCTCCTCCAGGATCATGACAGCAAGATTCAACTCAAAAGGAAGAAAGGTCACAATCATACAATGTTATGCACCTACAAATAATGCAGAGCAAGAGAAAAAGGAGGAATTCTACAGACAACTTCAATCAACACTGGACAAGACGTCAGTTGGCGATATCAAAATTCTAATGGGCGACATGAATGCCAAACTGGGAGGGGACAACACGGGAAGAGAACTAACCATGGGTCGAGAGGCACTAGGTGAAATGAATGAGAATGGAGAATTGTTTGCAGAATTCTGCGCATTCAACGATTTGGTGATTGGAGGCAGTGTGTTCAGGCACAAAGATATCCACAAAGCGACATGGATTTCACCAGATGGACACACTAAAAATCAAATCGACTTTATCTCAATCTCAAGAAAATGGAGACGCAGTCTACTTAACACAAGGTCAAGAAGAGGAGCAGATGTAGGTTCAGACCACTACCTAGTGCAAGGAACCTTCCAAATCAAGTTAAAAGCCTTCAAGGAAGCTGGTGATAGACCTCAACCCAAGTACAACACTCGGAAACTGAAGGATGAAACTACAAAGGAGATCTTCATGGCAGCCATCAAGACAAAATGGGAGACGTCGAGGGACATCCCTGAAGAAACCTGTGTGGAAGAACACTGGAAGTCTTTGAAAGCTATGTGGAAAGAAACCTGCACAACAGTATTAGGAAGGAAGAAGAAAGAAGACAAGGAATGGATCTCGACGGATACCTGGAAGCTGATAGAGGAGAGGAGGATGGTGAAGCAGAAGATAAACCAGTGCAAGGATGCTCAACGACAAGAGGAACTGAGCACAATGTATAAAACACTGGACAAAGAAGTGAAGAAGAGTGCACGCAAAGACAAAAGACACTTCTACGAAACACTGGCAAGTGAAGCAGAACAGGCTGCAGGTAAGAGAGACCTGACGACATTGTATCAAATAACCAGGTTGCTATCAGGGAAGAGACCAACACAGATGAAACCAATAAAAGATGAAGAAGGAAATTTAATTACGAAAGAAGAGAAACAGAGGAAACGATGGGCCGACCACTTCAAGAAGCTCTTGAATCGACCACCACCTGCACTTCGTCCAGAAATACCACCTGCAGCCGCTGAACTACAAGTGAACATTAATCCCCCAACGAAAATGGAAGTCCTGAACGCCATAAAGCTACTGAAATGCGGGAAAGCAGCAGGACCAGATGGAATACCGCCAGAAGCACTGAGAACAGATGCAGAGACAACAGCGGCCATGCTCACACCACTATTGCAGAAGGTGTGGAAGGAAGAGAAGGTACCTGACGATTGGAAGAAGGGTTACCTTGTCAAACTGCCGAAGAAGGGAGACCTCAGTGCTTGCAAGAACTGGCGCGGAATCACTCTCCTGTCCACCCCAAGTAAAATATTAAGCCGCATCATCCTGGAGAGGCTTAAAGACGCACTGGATTCAAAACTACGACCGGAACAGGCAGGCTTCAGGAAGTACAAATCATGTGCAGACCAAATTGCAACGCTTCGTATCATCATAGAACAGAGCATAGAATGGCAATCACCTCTCCACCTCAACTTCATCGACTTTGAGAAGGCCTTTGACAGCGTCGACCGAGAAGTAATTTGGAAACTGCTTCAATACTACGGAGTACCGCAAACCTTTATCCGCCTCATTCAACAACTATATGAAGATGCTACATGCCAAGTAATCCACAATGGGAAGCTCAGTGATGCCTTTGAAGTGAAGACAGGAGTGAAACAAGGTTGCCTACTATCCCCCATGATATTCTTGATTGTGGTGGACTGGATCATGCAGCAAACAGTAGGCAGCGAGAAGAGGGGGATACACTGGACGACGGAAAAGAACCTAGAAGACTTGGATTTCGCCGATGACTTATGCCTAATGTCACATAAACTTGAAGATCTGCAGGCAAAAACTAACAAGTTGATAGAAGAGGCAGCGAAGACGGGACTTCAGGTGAATATAGAGAAGACAGAAGTGATGAAGATACCGCACCACCACCATCAACAACAACAACAACAAACTCCAATCACCGTCAACGGGAGAAACTTAAAGGAAGTAACCTCCTTCACTTATCTAGGAAGCACTGTTTCAACTACAGGCGGGACGGACGAGGACGTCAAAGTCAGAATCGGAAAAGCAAGACAGGCGTTCATCAGCCTGAAACCAGTGTGGAGATCTTCTGCACTCAGCATGCGGAACAAGATACGGATTTTCAACACCAACGTCAAGTCAGTGCTCTTGTATGGCTCAGAGACTTGGCGCGTCACGAAAGGTATTTCCAATAAACTACAGACATTCATCAACAACTGCTTACGCTCGCTGCTGAAGATCAGATGGCCAGAAAAAATAAGCAACAAGGAACTCTGGGAACGAACCAACCAAGAACCTATCACGCAACAAATATGCAGGAAGAAGTGGAGATGGATTGGCCATGCACTGAGAAGGCCGACGGAGGACATCACGCGTCAGGCCCTCGAGTGGAATCCCCATGGGAAGCGACGAGTTGGACGTCCGAGGGTGACATGGAGGAGGTCGTGCGAGCAGGAAATGAGAGCTTCTGGGCTGTCGTGGGACCAGGTTCAAAAGATCTCAGAGAACAGAGGTCACTGGAGGCGTGCTGCTGAAGCCCTATGTTCCACTAGGAACCCAAGGGACTAATAATAATAATAATAATAAGTCAAATGTCTAAGTGATAGAGGTAGAAAACTGACTAGTCAGTGCAAGGACCTAAACAATGAAGCTGAAATACGTAAAAGAAGCACTGATAGTTAATACTTGTCCTCCGCAGTTTATCAAGAAATTCGTACGAACACACAAGAAACGACAAAGTAACAGTAACAGGAGTACGAATAATCACGACAACACAAATAGAAAGGAGTTCGCAACCTCCATTATGTTACCCTACAAGGAAGGTATATCAGAAACTTTAAGTAGGATCCTCAACAAAGCTGGTATTAGGGTGGCATTTAAGCGTACAAACTCACTCAGAGATAAGCTTTGTCGGCTGGCTTAGAAATCCGATAGAACCAATAAAGCAAAATAGTCTAGTCCATCAAATTCCATGTAATGACGATGAGGTCAAGTACATAGGTCAACCTAATTGGTCGAGGTCAGTTAGATTAACGGAACATAGGAATTGGCTGAATATAGAATGACAGACCCGAATAAGATCAATAATCTAGAAAACAACTAGGCATTTGCAGGGCATGCATTAACACACAACCACACAATAAGGTGGGAAAAAGTCCCTGTACTTAAGTCTAATATAATTAGGTGGAGAGAGAGGTTGATTACTGAATCTTTGTTCATCGAATCAGCACGCAACACATGTATTAGAAATGATGCAACACCTATACCAGAGATATGGGAAGTTTAACTACCAGAAAAACAAATCATATGAGGTAACCTAGCTATAAAAATCAAATGTCGAAAGATGTGGGATTACATTTTTATGATTGTGAGCACTAAGTTATGCTCGAAATGTCATCAAGTAAATTATACTGTATCACTGTGTGTTATAAATCAAGTAAACAAATCTAATATGGAATTAAATTCTATCACAGTGCCCAAGTTTTACACCTATATTAATCCAAGAATGTTCTTGTTATTGCTTTAATCTTAGGCATAAACTTTTGTATCTATAAAGAACGTTAACTAACAAAATAAAAACTATAGATTGTTTTATTCGACCATCTGTCATTCAGTTTTTCCCAACATAGAAAGAAAATGATGAAGAAATCAATTATTCAGCGACGTATATGCTTGTATAGAAGGCTGTGGTTAGCAAGTGTGTAATAATGAGAAGAGAAAAACGATGTTACTAAGACTAAATTAGATAGCAATGGTTTTGGTTGTGTTATTTTCTTTGAGCTGGGTTTTTAATCGTGGAGCTTACATCGTCTTGCTAGACGTCATCACCAGCACTAACTGCAGTAGTGATGACGTCGTCTAGCAAGATGATGAAAGCTCCACGATTAAAAAACCCAGCTCAGAGAACACAATACAACCAAGACCATCCACCTGAGCTACAAATATTCCCTACCATTTCATAGCCATGGTTTAGCAGAGTGATGGACTTGATACTGGATGATAATTGAGTCATAGCAGAATTCAAGCCACTCTGATCACGATAAATGGACTGTGACGTATTACTGATTCAGTTGGTAGATGGACAGAAATCCTTGATGGCTGAAGTGAAGTTAATACCTGATCGGAATTTAAGTATCATAGTTCAGTCGGCAGAGGAGCTGGAAAATGAAGTGGTGGTTGCTGGCTCGTATCTTATCACGACCCAAGTTTTCATTTCATTACTAGTAGCCACCAAGTGTCAGAAATGTGATAGAAAATGCTGAAATTCAGTTTCATCACAACCATGAAGTCATGAATAGCAGACAACATGAAAATAGACTCATGTTTGGTGAACTAAGAAAGCATTAATCGGTAAATATGGTTCTTTTTATGGAGTCAAACTGTATTGAGAGACATGTAGCGTTAGTAGGGGTCTCATGTCAATCAATGTCCGACAATGTAACATATATCAAACTGGGAGTCAGAATCGTACTACTAGAGTTTTTTAAAAATCAGTTCAGCGCAACGTAAAGGATGTGCAAATATCAAGTGAGGAATAAAGATTAGTAGTACCATTTTTAGACAGAAACCTGAATATTTTTATGAGCAAAAGAAGGAAAGAGACTCGGCTGTTAAAGAGAGAATATAGGGAAGAGGCTGAAGAGGAGCAGCTGTGGGAATAAGATAAAGAAAGAATGACAAAATCTTGAAATCATGGCTGTTGAAGCAAAAAGGGACAGAAGAAAGCATTTTGTTGATTATCTCAGCTGTGGATAAAAAAACCTTTAGTGTACGTAGATGTAGGGGAAACTCTTTGAAATGGCTGGCTGTCATTCTTAGATTACACTCGAAAAAACATATGGAATGACGTAGGAAATATACTCCAGAATAGAGATACTAGTTTGACTGAATTAGTAGTATTATTATTGTGGTAATGCTGTCAAAAGTTCAAGAGCAATTGCAACAGATATCAGCTTTTCAAGGTCTGTCAGACTGGCTGGACAATAGTATATTGTTATTTTACATGCACTGATATTACCTGAAACAAGACTTCAAGTTCTATTTCTTGGCAGTGTAAAATGTGAGTTGACAGGGTGAAACATAAACATCCAAGAAAGATGTTCGTAACCTCACCTTTTAAGGTGAGGTTATGGAATTTTCTTAACAATTTGAATTTTGAATTTGAGCTGCATGAGCAAACATTATTGGTATATATATAGGTGGTGTTCACTATTTGACATTCCTTATCGCATCAGAGTATGGACTGGTCTAAAACGTTTATCACTAACACCTAATCAAGCTGACAACTACCCATCTCTGATAAACCAATGGCTTTATTTCACTGCTGCAAGAAATCAATTTAGTACAATATACCTTAGTCTTTGCGGTTCTCAATATACTACTCAGTGGCACAGATTTAGATGTCCGTGAAGGTGTAAGTTGTCCCAGTGTGGTAAATGGATGCTCCGGTTATATGCTATAAAGCAAGAAATAGATGCTAAGTCAGATAACTGCATTAAGTAAACTAAGTAAATTGAATTTCAAAAATCACCGTCTTAGCGGCAACTGCTTTATGGTAGTTATAATGGCCTACTAAGCCTCAGAACCTTTTTTCCCAACTATTAAGACCAGCATCAAATTCAAATGCGTATACTTGCGTCAGCTCTTGCACAGCGTTAATCACGTCTCTGACTGAAATACTGGGGAGCATGGGTTTCAATCTCAGGTGGGATATCAGCTCTGCAGCGCTTGCAGATACGCCGTGCTAATGAGTGCCAGAAAGCAAGACACCTTGTGGAGTGAAGCTTCACACTGGTTGCCTCCATCAAACTCACTCCTGTTACACTGTTTCGCATTGCTAAAGATAAGTGCTTGGCAGATACTGTCACTTTGCAATGCTGTACTGTGACTCTAAATAATAAATGTATCATGAAACATAAATAACAGAAATTTATGTTTTTTATAAACAGATAGACTAACATAGAACCTGGATAAGAGGCAAATCAGTTCAGTTTGCCACAAATCATTGTAGCATGTAAAGGAAAGGTGGTGAAAATGAGAATGGAATGAAATTTAGCAAAAGTACAGGTGTAGAAGGAAAATAAAAACAGATTAAGGTTAATGAAAAAGTTCAAGATTTCGAAAATAACAATGGCCATAAATGTGCACGATCTCAAACAATTTTGAGCCATGTCACAAACAGTCTTCACAAATTCATTCCTTAAATCTAATTTTTGTTGAAAAATTCTAGTGAATTCTATTGGTAATTTCACATTTTAAATCCTATTGCACCTTTCGTCAGTATCCAGATGACAATGAAAGAAAATACTGCAATTTTTTTCGTATTTCAAAAGCATTCTATTCATTATTACACTAAAAACAACTGTGCAAAACTGATCATGTGTTTCCATTGACTTTCTACCATCCTACAATATTTATTACATTGATAAATATCTAGCTACTTTTTTTCTTATATCATTTAAAAAGTCTGATGTGCTTTTTTTCACAATTCTATGTGACATTCAAGACTTTGTATAACTCAATCAATTACAAAGAAGATAGAATATTTTATTTTTTTGTCGCCTAGGTAGGTTTGAGGTGGTAATCTTGCTTATCAATACTGCATAATCAATAGAAAAATGTTCTGAAATGTCAGTCGATATATTTATGTATAGGTATCAAACTAATTACTCCGAAAATTCATCTTTCCTAAAGTATACATAAATTCCATTACTTTTTAAAGTGTACAATGTTTTATTAATAGGCATCACTTTGAGCATAATGACATGAAGTGAAGCTTTGGCTGAGAGACGTTAGCCTTTTATCAAAATTGATATGGCTATCACTTACATATTCCACTAAATGTAAACACCGATAAAATCACCTCATATTATCTATATTTATATGACTTAGAAATTTATAAATTATTCATGGCCTAATATTTGACGATTTAAGACTATTCAACCTATGTTTTATGCTGAAGATTTCCTTGTTGATGTCTTTAACTACGGCACTAATCATCTAGGTTTAATTCAGGTTTGTCATGAAGCATTTGTCTACAGCCTCCTTCTAATCGTCAGCAAACACCTAACATAAACCGATTAGTGGTACTAGTTTCCATCCCTGAAGAATTTGATTCGAAAAATTCATCTGACACTTGGGACTCACGAACATAACAGTGTTTGAGCCAATTTAGTCTTCAAGTTGAAGTAACTCACTCTTAGATGGATTCAATTTTAGTTGAATTCAAGCAGAAATCGAATGAAGTATTCTTACGTGCCTGATTCCTTGTCTACCTTATATGGGTACTTAGTATGATCATCTCCACGCATTGCTTCACATAGGGTAAACATATCAACTGTGCGCCATGAGATGAATTTGGGTCACTCGGCCACCCAGTTCCTCTGAATATAATCTGAAGGACCTTACTTAATAGTTTACGTGTATTACCGTTGTACGGTAAAAAACCTTCAATAGTTTGCATCTTGAGGTTGACATACGAAACCGAAGTATTTTATAAGCTACCCTAGCCATCACTGAAATAACCAGTAGGTCTTATTCATTTTGTTTGCGTAGACATTTTTCACTAAGGTAAACCAGATTGGTTGTGCCCGCATAAGCTAGAGAGACCGTTGCTATTACCCTGTCAAATCAGTGTGTACTTTGCTTTGGTTAAACTCAGGTTATTTGATACTCCCGGTAGGTACAACTCTTCCCTTTCATAATTTCTCGTGAAAGTTATTTAATATAACAGTTTTATGATCAAAGTATGATAGTCATTAACCTATAGAAGAACTACAACCGTTCTTTTTCTACACTCACGATAGACAGTGTACTTTGACATTCTCATCACTTAATAGCTTATTTAAGGTTGGAAAATGCAACAGCAATAACCACTGCAAACCATCTTCAACGACTATCTACATAATAAAGTAATAAACACATATTGTGCACTATTATGTAGACTATAGAATTTTGACACATTTAACACCAAAACAAATATCATGGTAGGTTCATCTCAGATGTGTGTTTCATTATGCCATTTTTCTTGCAATAATTCAAACTTCACTTTTTGTTTCCAAAAGTTCAAAATCTAATAACTTTTGCTGATTATTGCTCCTACCGCGTAATTTGTATTATATACGGTTGTTGGCAACAAAAGGTCCTTTAGCCACAAAAACTTTGTACGAAACTAAATACTACATTTGATTTACAACACAGCAACTATCTTCTGGAGTCGTAAATCTTATTTTTAAACTATCTGACTAAGATACAATAAAGATTGACATCTACCGAAAAAGCCTTCAACTGATACAAATAAATCTCTATCTACCATGCTTTTTATAATAGAGAATCGTAGAACTTATGAAGCTGAGAGTTATCCCGACTCACTTGATTCGATTCATTTGATTTCGGTTGATTGTAGGCGGCATTATTCCTTGACTGGGTTGGAATAGTTCTGATGTTAGCAGATGAAAATACTTCGCTTCTGTCCATACTAGGTGAGTCACCAATGGCGCTGGTTTCTAGCGTAGGTGTCATGGTCCTCGGTGAATATGGACCATTTTGTGTAATACTGCTGTTATTTGGGACCTAATAAAAGTGATTTAAAAAGGAATACAGGACTATGCAAGATTATAATTTTGTGAGTTGTGATTGTTTGAAACTCTAATGAACATACCATTAATTGGGTTATGCAATGAAATGGGTTACAATGGGAAGTCGAGATCGTTTAATGATTTCTAATAACAATCTCACATTACTGGGTACTCTTTCAATCTGCTTACTAACCATACTGTATGCATCAACTGCTAGATGTCTTTCAGCATTTTGGTCAAGGTTATTACGTGGTTTACTAACAAGTTCCTAGAAGCAGATGAATAGAGTATGCTTGGTGAAAGATTACCGTCTACCACTAATTGCTGCCACACTTGCAACACACACTAGTTACTAACTTCTAGGAAAATACATTAGCTACAGAATGTTTCGGTGGAATTTACAGATAAAATCAAGAGAAATTTCTCAAATGAGTTAACGTTCTCTGTAATTTATTTGAGTTGTTGAAATACTCCTTCAAATTGAACAGTTCTACCACCGTGCGTCTTCTCGAAATTAAATCTTCTGCTTACTCAGGTGTTTATAAATTAAGAGCTTGACGAAGATTCATGTTTTGAAGGATGGCATTATGAGAATTGCACATGATCGCACTTGTAGCCAACGTATAGTTCATCTTTACAACAATACCCAACTAAGCGAGGTAGTTTCTTCATTTCAGTTTCCTAATTTGATTATATATATATATATATATATATATATATATATATATATATATATATATATATATATATATATATATATATAGCCAGGATCGGAAAAGCAAGACAGGCATTCATTAACCTGAAACCAGTGTGGAAATCTTCTGCACTCAGTATAAAGAACAAGATCCAGATTTCCAACACCAGAGTGAAGCACGTTGGTGCTTCTGTGTGATGCTTCGGAAGCTTGGCGCGTTACAAAAAGCTAATCCAACAAACTACAGACATTCATCAACAACTACCTACGCTGGCTCGTTACTGAAGCTCAGATGGATTGCCAGAAGGAATAAACAACAAGGAACTCTGGCCTTCCAACGAACCAACCAAGAACCTATCTCCTAACAAATATGCACTGGAAGGAAGTGGAGATCGATTGGGCATACACTGAGAAGACCATTCGGGGACATCGCCCGCCAGTCACTCAATTCGAACCCAGATGGGAAATGACGAGTTGGGCGTTCGAGGTGACGGTGACATGGAGGAGATCGGGTGAGAAAGAAATGGGAGCTTCTGGGCAGTTTTGGAGCCAGGTTGAGGAGACTGTAGAGAGCAGAGTGGAATGGAGACATGCTACTAAAGCCCTATGTTCCACTAGAAACCGAAGGAACAAATAATAATAATGATAATGATGGTATATATACATTGGATAAAAATATTCAAGGAGTATGGATCTACTCCTATCCGAAAATTACTAAAACCTCATGTTTGAAACTCATTATCAATATAATTTCAGAATGTTGCAGCATGAGAGTCATGGTTGATAAAAATAAATATTCCTCTAACTGAATGGCCTTTCTGATGGACTTGGTACAGAAGTCAGAATCTGATAGGCGTGGTGGCATGACCAGTACTTGCTTTGGCGTTGTGTTTTCGTAGTCAACAAAATGTACCTTTATTTTCTGCGCTAACTTTCAGTTTACAGATGGGTTTGCACTTACTTTTTCCCTTTGAATATTTTTCAGGATTTCTTCCTTCATCCTTCTGTATAACCAAAAGTCGACTTGTTGCGAACTTTTATGTGACACATAAGTTTGTGAGTCAATCAACTGATGGGAATAGGAGAAAAATTCTTGCTACCTTGTCACACCAGTAAGAGAGATTACCATTACAAACTGAAAGTTCACCTAGTGTGTTGCTAATATTTTCGATTACTGGAACAAAATGAGTAGTATTCAGTATATCCAGCAGTAGTTAAGCATCTTATTAGTAAAAGTTTTACATAAGTTACCTATACCGTTGAGAAAAATAAACAAATCACTATTTTTAGACTCATGTACTGTACTTCATTTCGCAAATCCAAATAATTTCGTGCTATGTAATTTATTATCGGAGCATAAAAAACACCATAACTAGGTACTTTCACCTTTTAATCCAATCATAGTTATTCAGTGATCGGAGACCTTGTATATCAATGCCAAAGGAGAGGATTTCAGCCACACGTCGCAACACAAACTACTTAAAATTCCTTTTTTAAGATCCTGATGTTTATTACTATTTATTGACATACTTGTTATTCTGGTGTTTTCTACATTATGTACTTTGAAAAGATTCTCTTTACTCAGTGCTCAACAAGTGACATCATTAGGTGTCTTGAGTATGGTTTTGTTCCTACTTATAACTACCATTACACACGGTAATAATGATAAACTGGTACCATGATCATAACTGAAAGCAATTTGTTTCATGCTCTAATAAGAGGTGCCTTTTTTAAAAGTACTTATATCTTTGTCAGATAGTTTACATTTTTAAAATTCCTTCTAAAATTGTAAATGATTAAACTAATTCTACTGAAGAAGTAAAATACCTTCAAGTATAATTCTTTAAGGAAGCTCTTCACTACTAAGAGATTCCTGCTGAACTGCGTAGAAAAATAACATATATGTAGAAATAGTCGGGGTGGTGACAAAACGTTCAACATTCTCAGTCACACAACATACAGTTTTCAGATTCATTGTACAAAATCTACTGCTGCTCTTCTTGATCCTTTCTCTATCCAGTCATATCAAATTATTTATCGGCAACTGTGACCAGCGCAACAGTTGCTATTGGTGTAAAATATTTTCCAAGCGTCACAGAGTTTATTTCAGTATTCTCGGAAGAATTTTAATCACAATCTTTTCGTTACACATAAATTTCCTCTTCGGTAGTCCGAATTAACTCCAAGATTTTGCTACGAAAAGTAAAGTATGATATCCTTTCCTCTTAAAAGCTTTTCATCTTAGACGAAAGAGTTCAGACGATGTCACAACATAAAGATGTAAAAAATTCGGAAACCACTTAAGACTCTCAGGAACTCATCAAATATTTTAAAAGTAGTCAGGAAAATGAGATAGGCAATGAGAACGTTTCTTAGCATCAGTGTTCTTCAATTTGAAATGAATTTTGTTAAAAATGTCCTTTTATTATGTAAAAGGTACTCCAGTTTGATGTTATTTGAGAATTAGATAAATGGTAAAGTCTTCTTGGACTTGGACATTACTGAAAGGTGAATAGTATGGCATATACAACCATCGTTCATTAGCCAACGTGGTTCAGTAGTAATAGGAATGTAGAAATCTCCAATTCTATGCAAATACGTTTTTCTGTTATGACTTGTAATTTATCCGTGTAAGTAGTGTAGGACTGAATCGATCAGCGGATAATGGATTATGATCCTTTTATGCAGTTTCCATGATATTGCCCATAATGACATTTTTGGAAGCATTTAGTAACTCGATTGATAAATCTTAAACGTTTGAAGTGACCGATGCAATTTGTCTGTTTAACTGAACGAACTAGAAGACATGTAAGTCTGGCTGGTTACCTCCAAGTGCTGAGAAATGCACTTTTTGGATTTCACTACTACTTACTGTCAAAAGTCGTTTCAGATGGTGAAGATACTTTCAGTTTGTAAACAAGCTCAAGAATAACGTACGGATTTCAAACGAAGCACCTCAATGAACGCAAACACTAATTTTAGGTCATAAAGTATGTTGATCATGCAAAACGTATCCTAAGCCATGTGCTGAAAAGAATCGACTACTTTTATCACTAACTCAAGATTTCAAATACACAAACCTCGGCAAAAAATTTTCAGCATAAAAAGACGCTTAGGTATAAAAGTATTAGCCAAAATGAGAGGGGTAGAAAATAAAGGCATAAAAACCATAAATAGGTGCATTAAACCACAGTTAAATTACAATGTAAGTTGATTACCAGAAGTTCACATCCTGATTTTATTGTTCACCACTAATGCGAAAGACTAAAAGACGACCATGAATGTTTAAGGGAATAGATTTGTGGTGTCTGTTTGAATCAAATATCTGGAAGGCTCATTTTTAGTCTACAGTCAGAAATAAATCTTGTATGACTGTTATAATAAGTTTCTGACAACAGTAAAATGCACAAGGCTTCAGAATTCAGGAAGTTTTTTATAAATGCTGAAGACAAACATATTGTACGATGTTTTTAAAGTAGCTGCCGAATAGACTGTTTAAAGGCAACAGCGCTGATTTAATAATATCTTAGTTATAATCGGTACAACAACGTTGGATTATATGATTGCAGATAATCTGCTAAAGATTTGTATAGTCTACAGTTGCAGTAGAACAAAAGCAAATCATTTCACTACTGACGAACCTAATGACTACCTGTATACTCCACAGAATGAGGTGAACAACTGGATGTTGCTAATGATGGATACAACAAAGGAATACTCTTAGTATAGGGATGGTGGTAAGACCGCAACAAATATTAGCTCTTACAGTTACCATTACCAAGTTTACAAAAAATAAGGCTTCAACTTATAACACTAACTATTCTTTCTTTTATGAGCTGATTAAACTTGCAATACTTCAATAAATACTTCCCATCCGAAAAAATTGTAATTCGAGTAACATTTATTAGACTTTCGTCAGATTACCTTTTAGGCAGTCAGTAAAACAAAAGAAAGCAGTAGTAAGAGTTATTATGATATGAACGCACCTGCAAGCCTAAATAAGTGGTTTCGAACGTAAATCCTGTTGGAACAACAGTTGAACATTTAAAAATCCACTTAATTGTCAAAAGTTCCTAATTGAGCCGCGTAATTTGTAAATAATGTAGTAGAATACACAAAAGAGTAAACTAACATTTCGATAACCGGTGGTAAATAAAATGAAATGGTCATCCTGGATTACGCTGTTTGGCAACCTGATGAATAGAACTTCAAACAATACTACTAAAGTGCACCAATTAAAAAGGAATTATTCCATTAGTTCTTGGCAATAAACTAATAATTTTCTTCAGTACAGAGTAACAGAATCAACTGGGGGAATACTGAAGTACTCAAGAATGAGACCAACCAATGACTTTCTAGAATAGGTGGATTGATTGGGACAGTGATACACTATTTTCGTATTCCGGCAACGAAAGGGTCGTTAATTCTAATATACCTACTAAATATGATTACAAACGTGGTTGCTAACTGGACTGAGTAGAAGCGACCATGTTCTTGTTTATCTGGTATGTTATATTATCACTATCCATTGGTGATCTTAGGCAGAAACTAGTAGTTGGAGAGAATGCATAGTAGTTTATTCATCAATATTGTTAATCCAAAGTTTCCGGCTACAAATAATTGTTGTTTTTCTCTAGAAATATATTTTGAGGAAAAACAGTCGTACAAACGCCATGAAGTTTTCTGCCAAATAGTTTATTTTATATGACTTAGATGTATTCCAACCGATTGTACCGAAAGTCACCCGATGTAAATAAAAATATTTAGGTAAATCAACTAAATTGTGAGTACATATCAAGAGACACACTATAAGCTTGATGAAAAGAAATGAGTGAATACATACCAGTCGAAATGAGATACATCAATTAAACACATTGAGTTAACAGTCTGTCCCTTCTAAACCTTCCAATACGTATTCACTCAATATATTACATATTAAGATATTTTTTCCAATAATATACTCACATCAGCAGACACTTCATATGAATTGCCCGTAACCACAGATGAATTCGTTAAATTCAATGTGATTGGTATCTTATGATTGAGTTTTGGAGTGGATGAAGCAACAGCCAGCGGACTAATAGTTCTGTTCATAGGTGATATAGGTATTTCACTAAGTTGTTCATCACTTTCACCTTCTTTATCCTGTCAAATCGAGTAAATATTATATGTACACACAGATGTTTATCAAATATAATTCAGTTATGATACAATTCTGTAGCATTAAACATATTGAATTTACAATGAATTAGAGACAGAGAATAAAAGAAGTATTTTTCTTTACATAAAACTTACTTTGAATAAATGTAATTTGATTATGAATTGGTAAACAGGATTTATACTTTATTATTTTAGTGAGATGGAATTTATGTTCTTCAATAAACTCACCTACGCTACGTTGGTATATCATTGGTCATAAGTCACAAGATGTAGAAATTCTCTCACAAAATCACGTGACATTCTTATTGTATCAGGGTATAGGTTGAATTCAAATCAACACAATCCAGTAGTGATCGACTATTACTGAATAGTACACGTATTCAAGCCTCAAATAACTATCACATCTACTGTGACTGGCTTTGCTTAGTTAGATTTTATTCAGTGAATCTTTTAGATATCCACACGTTCCAACAGTCTTCTAGTAAAAGGCTTTGTTTTATTCTACTCATAAACAAACGTATACACACAAAAGCATCTTGTTATATCTGTAAAAAGTGCAGTACTATGACTGTAGCATGTAGTGTAAATCGAATTGTTAACAGTTACAGTAGCACTGTAACATATTGCACAAACCAACATGATTTTCGACAAGGAATTGTGATTACAAGCGTATACTTTCTAGCTGAATCAAAGTTACTGGAAGTATTTCTGATTATGAGATCACTTGAATAAGTTAAGCAATTAAATACACTGCCTAATGGTCAATTCAGTGGTAGTCGGTACTTTTGATCCTTATTCAGGTATGAAATACTAAGTAATCACCTCATAATATGATTCCTTAAGAATATATTTCAAAGAACTTGAACGGTCGTAAGGAATATTCATCGAATCTACAACAGTAAAAGGACTGTTATTGATAATGACCTAATAAGCCGATGCCTTGATATCGCCTACTACTCCTCAAAATCTGACATATTCGACTTCATGCAACCATTTATGTATGCCTGTGATCAAGTCAGGATTCACACACTAGTTAAGTGACTGAAAGATTCTAAAATTGAAGGAAAATAGTTTATTGCGTTCTGAAGATTACAGGGTATTTTCAATTAAGACTGTTCATAAAATCAATCTTTCATAAGAATACAGAGAATTAACAGTTTGTAAATTATAATCATATTATATTGTTGAGTTCCTGTGTACCAGCATTCAGTAATAAAGCAACACTCCATTTCCTTTTTATGACTATATTTCTTAACGAACTTCAACCCTTACGAAATATCATGTCCATGGTTTATATTATTGTGAGGTTGACTAACGATACAACTCTAATTCCAGTAGTATTTTTAGGTGATTGTAAACTTCAGAACTCAGTGAAAAATATGCTTCTTCCGGGAAGGGTTTTGAAATATTTATACACTGGATTAGAAATTATCTCATTTATACATAGGTGAAAAAAACGTCTAGAATCCTCGAAATATGGTACACTGCAATTTACGTCTTAAGATACAAAAGTCTAACCGGAAGTTGCAAGCTGAAATCATGTAAAGCAACACTTTAGTTATCACCTTAACAGCTAAAGTAACCTAGGTTAATGTCTCGCTATGATGTGTATCATAATTTAAGGTGACCTGGCTCTGTTGAAACATTTTACAGGGGAGATATTAGGTTTTATGCAGTACTGACAAACCCAATATGGAATCGAATTACCGCTAGTTATCACTGAAAGACAGGTTAGCGTACCAGCCATCCGGCCTGCTAGATTTATGTCGAACATAAACTGAAACTGACCACTTTGTAATCTACCATCACTAACTAAACTACGTAGCCAGAACCTGTCTGTTAGGAGAAACTGGTAACCCACCAGGCAAATTTTATCAACTTAAATAACTGAAAACAGCAAAATAAAAACAAACTTCGCTTGTCGGTCAGGAAAATATTAACCTCACATTGATTCAACTTAACAGTAGTTTGGGTAATAAAAAAAGGTGTCTTGAAGGCTGGAATAAATCTTGATCGTGGTGTTTCTCAAGACTGTCACAAAATTAAAAGCAGTGTTAGACAAACCATAAGGACAAGAGTATAAACTTACCGTAGGTATGAAGCGAGGGAAATGACGATAGTTGTGAGACGGCCAATCCTCGGAATTGTTTTCTAAGAAATTTGATACAGAGAAGAATAATTTAGAAACTCTAGAAATAGTAGATTTAAGTTCAAAATAAGAAATAAATGTTGTTACTTTAGTTTTCATTGTAAAACACTTGGTAAATTCAGACACATATCTCACAACTTTAAGGCCTATTAACTCGAGATAATGACTCAGCTTCTTTAACTGGAAATGAAATCATTCATAGCTACTGAGTGATTTAACAGGCAGGCTGAGAATCTTCTCTAAAAGAGCATATAGGGTTGCTAGGTTAATGAAGCTAACTAATTAAGGTAACCAATAAATTATTGTTTAATGATAATAGTATGGAAAGATATTTGACATGCCAAAATATAGTCTAATGAGAACATTTTCTTTCTGTTTCACTAAAAGCAAGTAGGAAAGTGTCATTATGTAAAAACTCACATGGTATACGCAGAAAAAATGTATACTAGACTGTTACCTGTTATAGCAATTTCTTACGAATATAGTGTCATGATTTGATAAGCTACCTCATGTTTTACCCAGCGAACATATAAGTACTTCGAGCTTAAGAAATTTATTGCTTCCAGGTACTAGCCAAGCTAGCTGAGTTTTGTGCAGTGAATTTTGCTGAGAAAAGTCTGAAAAACACTTTCATTGACTGAAATCATCAATCAAATCTTGTGCTTTTCGTAGCAGGATATTCATATTTCATGTGATCTCAAAGTGTCATTCTGGTGAGAAGTACATTAAGGTATGCTAGGTATCTGTCGTTGCATCTAAGTTTCCTGAATAAACAAGTAGATTGTAGGAGCTATACGTTCGATAATGTTCGCTAGTACAAGTTGCAGTAAGTCACTCACATATGTTATCTTGTCAGTGGTCGGCAGATAGAAGCTATCTCACCACTGGATGATATTTTAAGTCATTCGACTCCCGGCCTACTATCAGTACCAATAAATGGGTTCATTTCAGACAAGTGAGTTATTCAAATCTTCTCCATCCTTAGTGGTGTCTTCAGAGGACCATATATACAGAGCACTGGGAGCACTGGACAGCCTTTTCGTCCAAGTATAAGACTCCTCACCATTACGTACCTACGACCCGGCTAGGGATCTAACACAGGATCTTCAGGTTTCACGGCGAACGCGTTAACCATGCGGCCACTGGGTCGGTTTCCAGTGGCTCACTAGGACGAAACAGCTGTCCAGTACTCCCAGATTTGCATTGGTTACACAAATGATGTCAGTCCGTGATGAATACTACTTCTATATTAAAAATCCCCATTCATCTTAGAAATACAATGAACTTTCTTCAGAAATTATATCTTTGAAACAATTCCAATGTACTACTATATATTCTATTGATTTTTATTGTTATTTTCATTTTACTTTAATCTTTTTATTGAAACATTTTCAGTTTTACAACCCCTTAGACTTTGAATTACCTTTCATGTAAGTATCTAAGAGAATTGTGTTAGATAAAACTGTCTGAAATGTTTTGCATAGCCTGTGATAAGTTTGAGACAAGTAATGTCGTTTCAACTTCTTGTCGAAATATTTTAAGGTGTATCAAATGTACTGAAAGGTAAAGGTGGATAGTGAGGAAAGGAGAAAATATGAAAGGTTCGATACGAAGAGTAGTGAAAGCAAAGATAGACACAGTCACTTAATTAAGAAATAATACAGAACAAAAGGGACGCTAAAAGGATGAAATCAATTCACTTTGGATGATGTTTGAGTTGGTAGACAGTAGACTTACACCTTCCTTGGGATTGATCATCTCATCATCATCAATATCAACATAGGACCAGGCATTACTGTGTAGCTGTCCGAGTTGCCACAACTCATTTCAGTGCATCAAGTAGAAAGGTAGTGACGTGAAAGATGAAGATAAGAAAATTCAGCCAAAAGAAATATAACGTACGAGAAGAAAGAAAGGAAGAATGACAAAATGGTGAGAATCAGCATAATGTTAAGATGAGGATAGTGTGTGTATGCATCCACGCCACTGACATCGGTTCTGAGCCATATCACCTAAAGTCTGCAGCCACTGGTTCCTCCTGTCTGGCAGACTCCGACCACCTAATCTGCATCGCCCCACATGGCTCAAACCAACAGTCAGAGACTTCATGTATTGGTGCCATGTTTTAGTCTGGGAACCTTTGGCCTTTTTCCAGCCTGGACCTACTTCGGCCAACATTCGCATTTACGATTATGTGAACATTTATTAGAGTGTTTCCTTCTGTTAAGTGATTCCATAGATTTCCACTTTTGCTTTTCAAAAATAATTCTTGTAATCACAATTAGGAGGTTTGAACCACGCTGTTATTTTATCTTTGCCTTTCGATTATTGTTACATCTTGCAGAGTGGCTGTTTTCTAAATCGAAGTTATTGTGATCAGAACTTATTTATTTGATCAGGCTAATAACCACATATACGATATAGATAGATCAGGATATGCCAATCTTGGCAATATTTGGTACTATAGAGACACATTAGCAAAACTGTAAAATTTTGGGTGTACAACAGGTTGACACGAGAAGTCCTGGTTTGATCTAGTGAAACCTGGATGCTTTAACCTGAACCTTTTTAACGATTTAACGTGTTTGATTTCTTCAATTTTCAAAAGATTTCTAGAGTCCATTCAAATTAATATGTCAGTAATTCTGAGGTCAGGCGTATTTCACTATAAAGGAAATCATCATCCATTTCTTCCTCACACCATCTCCTCCATGTCACCATCGCCTCAGACGCCCAACTAGTCGTTTCCCATTCGGGTTCTACTCGACGGCCTGACCTGGCGCGTGATGTCTTCGAATAATTTTCTCAGTGTATCCCCAATCCATCTCCACTTTCTTCAGCATATTTATTGGGCGATGGGTTCTTGGCTGCTTTGTTGCCAGGCCAGAGTTCCTTGTAGCTTATTCTTATTATTCTAACCATCTGATCTTGGGTGTCACTATCGAGTGAGCGTAGGTGGTAGCTGTTGCTCAATGTCTGAAGATTTGTTGGAAATGTTTTTCGTGACGCGCCAAGTTTCTGAGCCATATAAAAGCACTGACTTGACTGGCATTTGTGTTGAAAATTAGGATCTTGTTCTTTATGATAATTCAGGTCATGCGGAATGGTAGCACAGCATTTTTATGGAATACTTATCTAATTAGGGTCTGTCAATACATATTTGACCAGATGAATTCGCTCCGATAAGCTGTCTGACTCTAGTCACCGCCTTTGATCTCTGTCCTTGTTATGACAATCACTAGATGGTATTTTATAAATTAAGCTACTTTGCTGAAATAGGTCTATTTGGTATTTTAGGCTACAGCTTCCTTCTGAGTGTGTTTGCTGTTTTGGATATGCAACTAGTTCCATATTTGTTAAGAACCCAACACCGAATTTCTGCTGTTAGTAAATTACTTAATAACAATAGAGGAGATTCAAGTTTTCTTCTAGATGTATTGCAACTACTATTGATACTGTTAATTTTGTTTCTCTCATAAGTTCTTACGAGGTTTTGATCAAATCCGGGGACAATTATTAACCAGCAAACAAGAGACTGAAATACTGCGGCAAATATTTGTAGCTTAGGTTATGTATGCTCAGAGTTCTAAAGCTTCACTTTCTTGTGAAGTCTCGGTGATTATGTCCAGCTTAACACTGAAACGTTTGTCAACTGAAACCCTCACCAACAGAACCAACTAAAGTGAAGAATATGCCAGGAAAGAAAATGAAGGCATTATTTATCACATAGTTGTTATTTATAGAAAGAAAATTTGAGCCGGGATAAACTTTCCTTAAATTTTCATTTGACACACCTTGAGAGCATCACAGTTAAAAAACAAAAACTTATCAAGCTGTTTCAAAATTTTAGAGTGTCATTTATGTGTGTAGTGAAGCGTACACGCATCTGCTATCAGTGTTTAACCCTTGTAGATATCTAGTCCTTGCAGCTTAGCTATGATAGAAGAATGTCTGTCAAGTTGGTAATGTGACCATGAGTCTAAGTGATACGAAACTGCCATTCACTGTATTTTAGTGTCAGATTTTGGCAGAACCTCCTGTCACTTGACTTATAACACGGCCCAGCAGACGTTTGGTACCTAGATGAAAGTGATCAGCAGGAAGCCCTGGATCTTAGTTCCCTGCTTGTTGGTATTCATCACCAAGGCCCAACTGTAAACTCGATGGAGGTGATGTCGCCTTGGAGACTGGAAACTCCATCACCTAGTGTTACAGTTAAAGACGACTACATATTATCTAGACCTCATTTATGACCGAATTCTACTCATCATATTGCAATTTAGCTACCAAGCTTAGCAACTCACTATCACCACCACCAACGTAAATTTGAACACCTTGTAGTAACCAACCCATGTGTAGTGAACTACTTTTAGGATTTTAAAAGCTGAATACTTAGACAGTACTAAATTAAGGGGTTACCAGTTGTAAGAAGCTAGTGATTGGGGTTCAAATAGGAAGTGAATCTAGAAGATCTACAACATACTAATAATAATTCATTTATGTACTAATTTATTGAATAAATATTTATTGTAAAAAACATATGCTCAGGTGCTTCCTTGTTAAAGTATCTTAGCACATGCAAGTTGCTCAGAGAAAAGTACCCATCTAAATGGGTCTTCTTCTAAATTCACTATGGGCAACATCAAAGACATAAATTAAAGAACTGTAGGAGTACCATTGTAATTCATCATGTTCTTCTCATGTATATTGTGATAAATTGCCACTTTAGTCCGTAGTGCATAAGTGTTGCACCCTTGGTTATAACCACCCACTTTGAAGAGCGATAATACTTACAGCAGAATGAATAGGTGACTACCTTCATCATTATCCTTACACATGTGCAACTGTCATTCATTAGTTAGAAACGTGACAGAAAATCTTTCTGTCAGAAGTAATGTGATATTTGTTAATTATTGTAATACGTCTAAATAAGTATTGTAAACAAGAATATTTTGAAAGACTAAGTCCAGATAAAACTATCTTTTTATCATATTTATGAATGACTTAGTAACTATTTGGCTTCTGAAGGTGATTTAATTGCTTCCTGATTTGCCTAGTTATCTCTAAGATCCACCATTTTGGATGTTCCTAAATCGATGTTATCATTACCGAACCTTAAGTTCACCATTTTAAGCTTTTACAAAGTAAGTAACTCTGATGTATCTGTAGACATTCAACAAGAAGTCCAGCAAATACGTCTCATTGAAAAGTGTATCTGAGAACTCAACGAAGACTAACCAGTATTGAGGAGCAGGTTGTGGGATCATGGTTGCTCCCGTTGATGCAGGTACTTCATATAAAAGGCTGGTAGATACCAAATAGGCAAAATATTAGTACTTATAACTGTCATATTGATCAAAATAACTTCGACTAACATAACGGAAGTAATTTTTTACTGGCTTACGAACTGTAGCCTGTTTATATATTAACAGTTAACCGACCTAATCTTCAGGGGTTCTAGTGACTAATTCCTGTCGTTTAATATCAAATGGAAAGCACTTTAATCAATGAAACCTCTCAGAACTAAGGCTTCAAAAACGTATACTAGAGTTTTTGAGTATCCTATCAATATGTCCTTGTCAACAGGCTCATCACACAGTGTATACAGTACACACGATGTTTTTGAGGATGCTCGTTTTATGGGATGTACTATGGATGCTAACCATTTTCTGGAAATAATTACTGCAGTAAGCTTATGTTGGTGTTCTTACTTCACTACAAAAATCACAAGGGTTCAATTTATTTCTTCCGTGGTGTTGATCGCAAAAACATTTTAGTGGAGAATTAGCTATGAGCATCATAACCTTCCATTTCTCCCAGGAAACAGAATGATATATTTATTTCAGGACTTTCTCGAAGAAAATCTATCCCAGAAACAAGATATATTAAAGGAAATATATGTACAATGATACCAATTAATCATCTCATAGAGACTTACCATAGCTAACGGAATCGACGCAGTTGAATGAGCCAGCTCTCTTAATTTTGGTACCTAAACACACACCGCATATCAAAAGGTTACTTTTATGAAGTAAGTAGTACGTTTTGTAAAATAATTTACGCTATGGTGTTTCGTTTAAACAAAACCAGATTAGACCTGACTTTAAGGGAAAATATGGCGGGTATGATGGATCATTGCCATGATAGCTGGGTGATGACTAAGACTGAAATGGAATTTCGGGCCACGCCATGGTTCGAACCAACAACCATAGGGTTTCCCATCCAAGCAATCTACCAAATGAGCTACTTCAGTCACCAAATGCAGTGAAATCAAAATCTGGCCAACAGTCAGGTCCCGTAATCACCTGATAAAGCCTCTTGTCTGCCAATTCATGGCAATTTCAGATGGTCAGACTGACACTAATATATAGCCAACAATTATTTCACGTTGTATTTTGAAAAATGGAAGACACTGGACTAATAAAATGTCAATTAAAGGCTACAAATCTCACTGTCATCCTCACTACTGAATACAAAAGAAGCATATTGAAGTTAGTGCTGATGAATTTGTCTGGAATGACAATGAAAGCTTCACGATTAAACTATCCAGCTCAGACAACACAAAACAAACAAGGTTAAAACGAGCGAAATATCGTAGCATGAAGTAAAATTATTCATATTTGTAGTACGTTTTAGGCTAGAATTCTAATAACAATATCCTCAGGGTGGTCATTGACATAGTAATAATAAATGAAAATGTGAGGGTAACTATGTTTCTTGTAGTGTAAACAATCGTCTCATCTAATTAGTAATGCACTTATTGTATGCCACTGGCAAAATGCCTAACCAATAGCGCACATTTCGTCTTTGACTGGATACTCATTTTTCCTGTGGTTTTGGTGCCAATGATACTTGGAGTCGCCGTTCAGACGCTTGGTCGACTACGTATATTTAATCCGTATTCTGAAAACTCAGGTGTTTCCGAGACAGTAAAGTCTAGTTGCACGATGGCACACCCTCTTGTGGACCTCGTTGATCAGCAGGTTTTAATCGTCTTTTCGTCCATTGCTAGGGTATCGAAGCGAAGTTGGTCATTTGGCGTGGGTAGTGGAGGAGTTAACTAGTTGCTTTAGACTTTTTCAGGTTTCTGACCCATAAGCTTTTGAGATTCCTTACGGTGGTTTGCTGTTTAATTGTTCATCTGCGAAGGGGTATTATGCATCTCATCTTGCATGGAGTGTACGATGAAGGCTGTAGGGTATATGTCTGCTATCTTCCCCGAGTGACATGCTGAGACTATTAGAGAAGAGTTGCCTGCGTGCATAATAATATCTCTGGTATGGATGTCATTTCCATGGTGAAATCCACCCTGGTGACTGTACCAGTGGTATCTATCGAAGGCTGGAAATTTTAAGGTATATATTACCCCTCTAAGCAGGAGGATAGGCCTCTGGAAACAGTTACCGACTGACTTCTGGACTCAATCAGTTATCTGCTGCCACCAAGCATGTAGTAAGAGCATTAGCACCCGGATCCCACTGTTTAACTGTGGTAAGAAGAGGGCTAGAATTAGTTGAGTGATGACTGTGAGATATGGTTGGCCTTAGCGTGATAAATTAGGTTCGGTACGCACTACCGCCTCTGCCAAGGAAATACGGGTAGAAACTCGAGAATTTGGGATTTTTACCATTAGGAGTGCATGACCTGTTGTGTACACCGTTTTCATATACACGCACCTAAGTGGAAGCCAACCTATTGTCAGGTGACATTTAGCTAACCTGGAAACAAGTATGGCATGCAAAACAGCAGATGATAAGGTGACATTTCCTTATGCATGCAAATTACTACATAAATTATTGATAGCTCTTCAACGCCTTGTATAATTCAAAATTATACTAGCCTTTAACATTCTGCTACATACCTGTCTGCTCTTGTATTAAGCTTTTGAAAACTGAGACAGCCGATTTTCAGAAATGATAGACTTCAGGCAATTTCGAAAAATTGTGAATATTATATATAATATTCTCAACAAGTGGAATCATTCATTCAATGGTGTTGAGTGTTTTTTTCCTTCAAAGCCATATATAAAGTTCAACCAGCAACCATAACGCATTTTACGAGTAATCTATGAAAACTTTAGACAAACCAACCAAAACTAGATCGTGGAAATAATTGACTGGTCACTAACATCTGTTGTGTATCTACGCTACCAACCTGCTGTTGTTATTATTTCTTTTACTTTATCCTACGTATGCAGGTTAGTTAAATAAGACAATGTCGTGAATGTAAACACTACAGTAGTTATGAAAAATGGCTTATCGCCATTTGTTACAAATATAAACTGATATTGGGCAAAGGTTAAACTAACTAAAACCAGTTCTTCACCTAGACAGGCATTCACTAGGTACATATACAAAAGCAACTTACTTTGTTTGGTAGAAGGGTATTCATAAAATGAGTTTGGGCGTACTTTTAATGAGTAGTCATCTGTGCACAGATAAAAAAAGAAAATATGCAGGCTGTCTTAGATTACTTAATACAACACAAACTTCTATCGAAATCCGGTTTTTATTGTAATAGATGCCCCAAAAAAGCAGCATGAATTCTTGATCAAAAAATGATGGGTAGTAAGGAAAAAAATCAGCCCTTCCCGTAAGTATGTTCACTCATCTTTGCGACTATTTTTTCGAGTTAAGATTAATTCACAAGTGGAGTTGAAATCCTTTCACTGTGTTTCTCTTCTCTTCCTTCTAGGAAGTTTAGCTGAATGGTGTTTACTCTCAGTTGTTTACTCAGTTACAATTTAGCAAGCTTGTCAATTTACATTGTTACCTTCTAAGTTATCTTGGCAAAAGTATGTTAGTGCCACGTGGATCAGTCCTAATTAAAACGCAGGAATTATAACTAATAAAATTTCTTCCAATCGATAGATCATAAAATTATATGAGATAGCGGTAAGCAGAACAAAGAAGGCATTCAATCAACTGAAACCACCGACCTCAATAACTCAAAACAACATATTAGTGAATTATACTCAGATATCATTATCATAGGTGTGAAACTTGAGCTGTATTGTAGGATTTAGTTCCAAATTAAATTTGTTTATTTGATTTATAACATGCAGTGATACAGTATTATTTACTGAAGCGTCATCAGTAAATAATACTCCATCACTGTGTGTTATAAATCAAATAAACAAATCTAATATGGAATACTCAGGTATCCACTAGCGATGAGTGGTTTATCATCTCTTTCTGGTAACACTTTATTGATGAAGGAATGTTGCTTCCACACCACTCGACAATCATTTTGAGAACATTTAATAAAATTAAGGAATATTTGTTTGACAACCAAGATGCAAAATAAGAGCTAATTTAAGTTTTTTAAATTATACTACTAGTTAGTAGTTTAGTGATAATTATATCAGCATGTTGAAAATACCTTTGATAAAGTACTTGACAATAAACTATGCATCACTGTTTCTCAACACTTGCAGTTCCTAGGTTGCTGCATGCAATATTTATAAGACGACAATGGCTTATCTAATACTGGGACTTAAAAAAATATTATCAAGAATTATAAGTGAATATTTAGGATTAATTTGAACCAAGTTCCCAAAATGGTTAATACCTTACATAATTCAAGTTGAGAAGCTACTTGATAAGTCGAAGGCCGTGGAGCTTTTTAATAATGTTGGTAGAATTGCATTCACATGTCAACAATAGCATGCCAATGCACAAAGTAGTTGATTTTTTTCCGATAGACACTAACAGAAAATAAATCTAATTGTACAGCTTCTTGTTATTCGACTATATCATTGAACAGGAGATTCACAGTAAAAACATATGGGATCATACTATATCGTGGGAACATCAAGGCTGTGAACAATAAGATATAATGAACACGAAAAGCTTGATGACGTCAAAACTGCATTTTAAGAAGGGGTAAAGTTTTGATCTAAGCATTACTTCCATTTGCGTTCAGATAAACGTGCACGCGACTACTCTATTGAGTGAAGCTGTTCAATGAACAGTTTTGATGTAAGTGCTCACAATCAATTTCCAGTGAAAACTTCACACATTTTTATCTTACCATATAGCATCAGCTGGTGAAAATAGTTTGAAAGTTGTTTGAAGTGTTATAATAACGCCTTGCAATGATTCTCTTAGCTGCTGAATAACACAATCTTATTGGTTTTCTTAACAGCCTTTAATTATATCTTGACTTTAGCAGCTACTGATACATATGGAATGTACATCAGTCTGTTTAGCCATCCAAAAATTATTTCGGCTATTGATTATGATGAGTGGTGTTGAAAGTCTAGTTCACTTCCTCCATTTTACGTGGTTACCAAACGATATTCATTCTATCCCCCTCATAACCCTTGCACGTAGTCTTTTATTCACTGCAATTCTTTATGATCCGCATCTCGGTAAACTACAAAGTACTCCAATAGCCTCCTGAGCAGACACTAAAATGAGTTTGGTTAGTTAGCAAAGGTAACTTGTTTTTTGGAAGGCGTCATTATAACACTTCAAACAACTTTCAAACTATTTTCACCAGCTGATGCTATATGATAAGATAAAAGTGTGTGAAGTTTTCATTGGAAATTGATTGCGAGCACTTACATCAAACTTTTTATTGAACAGTTTCACCAAACAGAGTGGTCACATGCTAGTTTATATGAACGCAAATAGAAGTAGTGCCTAGATAAAAGCTTGAGTCCTCGTTAAAATGCATCCTCAGAGTGTCTTCCAAAAATAGAGATGCCACTTATTGTTCTCTGTCCTAACTAAGCATTAGGGTTACATAAAATAAAGTCTTAAAATTCATTATACTGCCTAAAATGTCTGAAATTCGAATTCAACGCCTCGAGAATTTGTGATAGGCTAGCTTAGTCGTAGCCTAAAAACTGAATTAATCAATTTCAGTAATCGAGAGGTAGCAGAATCACTGAAACTCGTCGTTACTCGTTAGCAGATCTGCAGCTTTCAGTTTCCAACAGATCATATGCACCAAGGATATACTGTAAAAGATGAATTGTCGCATAAGTTTGAATCCCAAATACAACCTCACAACTTTTCACTTGGTTAAGTGATGGAATGCTTTTATACTTTTTAAAGAATTTCTTGCCTAGACTTGAATGTAAAATCACCCATTGATATAATAAAGGAATCTTGTTAGCCATGAGGTCCTGATGAAAGGAATGGTGAATTTCTGAAAAATAAATCTGTGATCTGTACTTCTTGTATCATACATTATCTGAAGTGTGTCATTGAAATGTTTGCTAAGATCACAATTACTTTCCTGTCCGTATCAATGGAATCGATGACGCTCTGATGCTCTCCCATTAGCTCCTCTGCAAAGTATTCTGCCGGCTGAATAGTAATCGATAGTCAACTTCATGTTTTAACATTTATCTGTCAGATATGGAGCTTGTTGGAGCATTATAATGATGGTAAAACCTTTGAGACTATTTTTTCGAGTTAAGATTAATATAAAATTGGAGTTGAAACCATTTTGACAAAACAATAAGAAGACTTAAATTGTCTGAACCGTGTAATGTATTTGCGCAACATATTTCGAACTATCTGATCACACACGTACTTGTCATAGGTATTTATATAAAAACTCATGAAGATAATGGGTGAGAAAATAAAAAGAGGTCAGGTAGGAAGGCTGACTTAGAGACCGAATAGCAATGAAAATCAATAGAGCGAAAAAATAATAGTACATCGAACTTGGTTTTCAATAGTTGAATTTACCAAGGAAGATTTAATGTAACAACAAATTGTTTATGAACACACAAAGGTGGTTTCAACATCCTAACAGCTAAGGCTTCAACAAATTTCAGGATCCCTCCCCAACATATTTTGTAAATAGGTGTAAAGAAAGTAGCCACATCAATCCTGTGACCTGTCTCAACGATATATTTGGCGATCGAAGAACTTGGACGTCTGCTACCAACATTTATGGGTCCAGGTGATTTAATTTGCTTCTGAAGCCACTTTGAAATATGTTCCGAGGCCCTTACTTACATGGATCCATTAGTCCTCCCTATGTACGTGTCACCACACGTACATTTCATTGTGTTTCTCTTCTCTTTCTTTTAAGAAGTTTAGCCGAATGGTGTTTACCCTCAGTTGTTGAATTTTTCATGAAATTATTTGGTTTGCGTAACCTTTTGAGTTCTAATGAAGTGCAGCTTTTCACGCTAATTTTTATTTCGTGATGAATGATATCTCACTTTTTTGTCTTGTGATCAGTATTGACCTTATATTGATAGAAATTTGAGTTTTTTTTACAGTATACTCCGTATCTTTCATTGATATATTCTATGAATGAGAGTGCAAGAAGTTTACTCTGAATGAAGGGAACGCATATTTTATACTCTACGCAGCTTTCTTCCCCACGTTATTTGAGGTGTTTTCCTGTGTCTAATAAACCACTCATTACAATCTGCGTGCCTAATTAGTTAGTTGTTATGGGTTCACTGTGGACTATTTTTTGTAAAGATTTCGATAAATGCTGATTGGAGCGCAAATCTTAACAAATTTTGAAGATGTGTGGTGTTACCGTCCAGACAAAGTTGTTTTGAGGACATATTTAATTTAGAAAGGGGTAAGTGTCGTTACTGTGGCACATAATGTTACAAGAAGCTATGAAACGTAAAAATTCAAATATGTATTTTTGCATAAGAAAGTGAAAGTTATTAAATTTTTGAGATATTGCATCTGATTGTGAACAGATCTCCCCTAATTAGGATCAGATGACCTATGCTCGGGGAAATGGAATCCTCACTGTGATCAAGCAAATAAGTAGGCGGATTATTCGATGACACAACGTTAAAATTCCGTTGCAGAATGTCTATGCAATGAAGAAATGTTGTTTAAGTTAGAGCATAAACTAACTAAAGATAAAGGAAAGTGAAGATAATTTTAAACGCTAGAGAATTGAACTATGATAAGTCCAATAGTTGCAACAAACGTTATCAAATGTTAGATGCACGTAGAATCCAAACCTAATCAAAATGTGAATCGCTCGTGACTTCTTTGTCATACTTTCATGAAGCAATACTGATTTGGGTAAATGTTGACGTGGTATTAACTAAGTTTTCACTCACCTTCTGTGTCGGTTACTGTATCACTCAGGTTAATATTACTGTAAGCTTTTCTGTCAGACTGTTCAGCTGAAAAATGTAAAAATTGGTAGAGGAGAAAACTACAGTAACATTAGAAGTATAAATCTTAGGTTTTTGGGAGAAAAGTCCACAGTTTGGGCTTTCAGTAGGCTACGACTTTTAAAATGTGACCGTAAGCGAAATATCTGTCCATCTTTTGTGGATTAAACACTTTCATTTAACTCTCATGGTTGTCCTCTGGAAACAGTCATCTTGTTAGTCTAAAGGCTATTGCCAGTAGCGAATTTTGTTTTCCTTAGTAGTTTTACATCACAAATTAATCTATGAATTCCTATGAGATAGTAAGATTGGATGATCAAATGGTATGTTGACCTCAATTGCCGGCATAACTATTATGTATGTTATGGTCATTGCTTTTCATTTTATGATATCAGTATCTCCCAAATAAAATTGAAATGTTTCTCTAGACAGAATAGCCATAAATGATACAAAATGAGACAGAATAAGTTGACTTCACAAGTTATTTGGTCCAGGAACGCTACAGACATTCAGAAAATGGTCGAGCATTTAACAGTTTGTCTCAGTTTTCTATGCCTAAGTAATCCGTGTACAAATATGCAATCTTAACATCGTTGCTAAAGGTGCGGTTTATTCAGTTTTTATGTTGAATGGCACAAAAGGCCTCGAATGATGAGAGCAGTATTTCCTTCTGGTCGTAGAAAGCTAGCATTCAGCAAAACAAAGATCAAGATACCTTATTTCGGAACCTGTACTGCATATCTCGCTTTAGAAACATTTCGCAAGCCTAATCTCATATGACATATCCAATGTGAATTCGGAAGACGATGTGCAGCACTATTCCGATGATACCTTAAACTAAGTCATCGGACTTTGTTTTCCATTGTAGGAAACAAAGTGCCAGGAGGAAGCATGAAACCTAGGTCCAGGGCTCCATGTCAGTTGTCTCCAGCCAACTAGCACCCGTCGAAGTGCATCACGGTGCTGAACTTCCAAGCCTGATGGTCACATTGCAAGTGTGATCAATAAAATTCGGACTTCACTCGGGATTATACAATATGAGATTGCCTGATTTTCAATGACCAGTCAATGTACATATTAAAATCTTTGAAGTCAGTAGGACTGCATATATTGTTGGTGGATATTAGGCTTAGAAATTTCTGAAATTATACTCTGCATGATAATTTACAAATGTTTTATGATTGCATAGTGGATGAAAATAAATTTCTAGACAGTGCGGTCGGAGTTTAATTGTCACTGTTTTATTTCAGAGGGTTTTGTCTTTTACTTTCTGGTGTTAGTTATGTAAACCACAGAAAACTTCTGATGTGGTATAGTGTGCGAAAAGTGAGCCCATTGAATAGACATACGCCATCCAAGCAGAATCAAACCAATATCTTTCATCAGTATGTTAGTCTGTGAAGTAGGTCAGTGAGCTAAAACTCCCCCTTTCCCCCTTGCCCGGGTGAATAAAATACACCCCAGCCACCTAGTCCAGATTACAACTCGAAGGCGTGTGTTAACTAAAAGGTCTTCACTGATTCTTTTCATTTGACGGAGAATTTGAATAAATGAACTCCTGTAAAATTTGCCCAATGGTAGTGTGATTTAGTATGTCGTCCTTCCTACATTATGATAAAAAATCATATTATCTGCAGATGGATTTTGAAATAACTGTTAAAATAGCTAAATGTCCTTCCTAGAAAAGTCACCTGTTAGTATATAGCGTCACTTACCAAGGTTGTCATATGCCTTCCTTGCACTAGGTGGTAAGCCGAAGTCAAACAATTTCCCACTACCATTTTCATTCACAGTCAGTGGACCCGTTCGGTATTCTAAAAAGATGCAAGTAGATAAGTGGAAATTTATGTGTAGCAAACAAAGAATGAAAATCCAATAATAATGGAAAAAATACCCATCAGAAGTTTTAATTTGACAAAACTTAGTGTTCACCGGACACTGAAAAGCAGGAATGATGAGCTTTGATTTTATAAATTTCTAAAGAGCAGGCAGTTGACGGAATTTTAAAGTTAGTAGTAAAAAAAGTATTAAATCAGTTCGTTTTGATAAGTTAAGCTTGATTTATTTCTTGAAGGATTTAAGTTCTTAATATCCTTGTTCAAGAAGTCTATTTACATTCAAAACGATTATTTTTCTATTATTTTAAACGCACAAAATTATATCTGAGCATCTCAAATGCATAAAGATAAAGACGGTGATACAATATCATCATAAAGGAAAAACAAGGACATTCGAAGCATATTTTCCGTTACTTTCATGTTTGTCATAGTTAGAAAGGCATCATTCCAAAAACGTCAACTAAGTAGAAATTCTCACAATCGAAAATAATCCATACTCTACTTGTTGTACAGTATAAACAACTCATTTCTCTGACTTCATTATACAATTAAGCAGCATTTTTCGTGTCTATCAGTAATCGCTATTACTGAGGTATAACAATTACAGTGTATAAGAAATAGAAAGCAATATTACTGAATAACATCCAGTCGAACATATTCAATATGATTCAAAAATATTCTCTTCAAAAGAAGGAATAATGAGTGAATTCATTAAAAAAGCATTTTCAAAAGTATAATATTTAAGTTACTTCTACTGCTCATATAAATGCTCATTTAAGTTGATATTTAAAAAATGAAAACAATGAACAACTGATTTTTAACCCATTATTACAACTGTCTTACTTGCCTACTCCACACCATGATCTTTTGAAAGGAGATGAATGTACACGAGTTGAATAGTTCCAATATGGAGCGAACAACTGTTTAGTGCTTGCATAAATTAGGGTTTTTTTAAACTACTAACAACTAACCAGCCTCCATAAACCATTTATTGGTAACCAAATATGACATCAAAAAAATCAAGTTTTCACTTAAACAAAACCATGAAACATGAACATAATTAGCGTTTTTATCACTTGATTTTAGTCTTCAGATACAAGAATATAAAGTCATAAAGTTAAGTAAAAATTACTGGTTCTCAAGATATCGATTTATATACTCAAATAAATATTTATTCGTTAAATATTCTCTTATCTCCTCTCATTGTTATAATTGTCAATAATATCGTCGTTATTATTCTTACTTTTTATATTCATATCTCTATATTCGTAGAAACTCAACTATTTCAATACTTTTCTTCAAACAAATCGTGATTATCATCATTATAGTTTTTATTGTTTATCTTAACCTTAGTGACAATAATTCACTCTTAATTCTTGTTGAGAATACAAATAAAATACGTAAGTTATCGTGTGTGTTTATATTCACTTGCATATGCTTGTGTTTATATGTGCATCGGTGCGTGCGTATCAGCATGCTTCAGTACCTAGCCATATTTGTACTGATGATCAGAAATTGTGCTCACCTACTGGCTTTTGAGACAAGGAATTGTAAATCAATAGGTGTACAAGAATGATCACAATACAAATTCATTCTTATTTTAAAGATAAAGTTGGTATATTGATTTGTGGATAGTAAGAAGAAGTTAACTGAATACCTGGTTCCTTTTGGAGAACACAACAAATTCTCTAGTGAAGTAAATATCACTTTAAGTACTTACATTTTACGCATTATTGTCTTAGATTGTGTTATAAGTGGATTGAAATATGCAGATAAGAATATTTAGCTGAGCTACAGCCTGATCTATCCTGAGATTTCATCAGCTTCATTATCATCGCTACTTCGTATGCTTTACAGGTGTTTAGTTTCTATCTTAAAACAATACAAAGAGCCACTAACTTGGAATTCAAATTAGACTCCAGAACATATTAAGATCCATATTTTTAGCAGAATTGCTTTTTCCAGGACCTGGTGAATTTCATGTAACTTTTTATGCCGTAGAAACCAGTGGTGAGTGAAACTAGCAAAACTGTTCCAAGAGTCAGTTTACATATGGATTTTACAGAACAAAAACTGAAGGTAAGTGTCTTGCATCTCTCCACGATAACAAGTGACCCATTGGCGACGAATAATTTTGTTTCGAAGTTACTGTTTAGAGTACTGTGACCAGGGATAATTAGATTCTTGCACATGCAAAGATTTTGTAGTAACAATTGCGAAGAAGCATTCGAGCTCACTTCTGCCTCATTTCTGCAATACACCTTTGGACTATCTCTTACAACTCGGCATCTTATAGTGGACCACAAAATGCTTTCTCCATCTTATGAATGCTTGATCAACTTAATCTTCGCTGAATAAAGTTAATCCATTCGGCACCACCGGTCTGTCATAAACTCCAAATCACCGGGATGAATATATAAGAAGGACTTTGAAATTATCTCAAACAGGCTAGGACAGTGAATGCACGATAGTTCACTCAGAAATATGAAACAATTAAGTCTTCTAACAGGCAGTAAAGTGCTGCACTGTAGAGAAAACAGAATTCACAAGATGACGATAATCTGGGAAAAATGAGTGAAAGTTACTTGTTTAACATATTCTTTCTTTCCATACAGTTATAAATTTAGCAACGCTTTCTTAGTTAAATGATGTTCTGGCTTGATTATCTTCTAACGGTGTATAGTCGAAGAAGCAGGTACATGAAAAGAATGGTTTCAGAAACCTTTTATTCAAATTTTCGATTATTCATCAACACTGACGTTTTGACAACTACTTGCCCTATAATAAGTCATATTTATTTGAGATAGCATGCTGTGAAACAGTATTTCTTACCGGATAACTCCAATGAGTTTTCATGTAGGTGATAGAAAACAGATAATGGACACAAGTTTAGTAACAACAGAAAGGTGATGAAGAAAACATTGACTCTGTAATGAATTGTTGAATGTGCCACTATTGAATGAATCAAATTCAGCTAGTGACTATAAAGTGAGGCAGTGTCCTATCGTCTAACATTTATTTAGCAGATGATTCATTTGAGCAAATTATCTTGATATGAATGATCTGAGTGAATAAATCATAACTGGAGACGAATTCAATTCATTTCCCCTGACTGCGACAGTTTCAGATTACTTTTTCACTATATTAGTAGGCGGCCATGAGAAGTTTGCAATATAAGTGGATTTATAAGTTTAACTCAAAGTACAATGATGTAACGAAACTTCCTAGTGACCGCTAGTCCTTTTGCACTGTGTATGGTGAAAAGTATCTAGAGTTCCTAGTAAATGGCGATTGAGATACGTCCCAAATTCACATGATATTCACTAGTAATTACTTCAGGCAACTTTGCAACCAATGATATCAGACGACAATATGGTGGCCTTAAACGTTACCTCTTCATACGCTTTAGTGTTATGCAATCCAAAGTATATTTCTCTGCCTTATGAAACGTACACCACCTTTCAAGCTAAGAATTAACAGATATTAGAGAGTAGAGAAAGTAAATTCGCTAATTAATATAATTTACGCATTTTATCTACGGAGAAATAGGTAACTTTTAATAATGTTATATTTAACTACGAATGGTACGCTTCTGAAACCAATAATGAAGATATGCTTACTAAAGGTTGAAACCATTTATTGGAGGCTATTTACAACGATGTCCTACCATGGTTATGCATATCGTTACTAGCTAGGAGCGAAATAACACCCACCTACTTATAAGATAAAAAATAATAATACGAGAGGTTTGGTGGCAGATGGTAGGGGTCAGTCAATAAAATGCCTTTAAAAATAATTTTAGTGCTGGCTGGCACTCAGCAACAACGTGTATCCGATATCTTGGAGGGATTCATATTTCTTGTGAAGTCAAACGTATGCCACTGATTCCTGAGGTTATAAACCTCACTGTAAGGCTTTTCAGATCACGTTCGTCCTCCTGGGTAACTAAATAGTATTTACATTCTGATAATTAGACAGGAACCAATGTTTAAGTGGAAGTTTCACTATTCCAAGTTGATCAGAGCCCATCTGTTTACCCCCTTCTAAAATATAACACCATATTTAAGACATGACAGTGTCACATCATTTTGTTTGCAGGGCATTTTTTCGAAAGTGATTGACCAACTACCTTCAGTAGTGAACGACTACAGATACCGAGTTTCGCTCTATAGATGATAATGAAGGCACATGCTTAACTAGAATCTGAATGAAACGTCCTTTAAATTTAGCTTCGTCACACAAAAAGTTACTAGGTATTTTAAATGATAATACAAGAGTAATAAATATCTTCGAAAAATAAACTAAATAAATTTATTTTTTACAAATGTAAATACCGTAGGAGTTTTCTACTTGAATGGATTGTTCAAAATACAAGAGACCTCATGTGAAACATTAAGAAGCAAACACGCCAAATCACTGAATGAAAAGTATATTAGAAGAGGTAGGTTTAAGGTATTGTCACCAACACCATAACAAAAAGTATATCGCTGGAATAAAGGAAGAAACTGTTCACATAAACTCTCTGGGCTGGCAATCAGCTTTAAATGGTGTTTCATTAAAAATCAAAAAATTAGCTTAGTAAATTAGCCATTATTAAGATAAATACAGAAATTCATAATTAAGATAGTTGTAATTTAGAGGTAGTATTCATCATAGACTGACATGAGTTGGGGAACCATTTAAAATCTAGCAGGACTTGACAGCTGTTTTGTCGTAGTATGGGACTCAGCAGTACGTACCCACGACTCGGCTAGAGGTGGAACTCAGGGTCTTCAGGTCCCACGGCGAAAGCGTACTGCCATGGAGTTCCATACTAGGATGAAACAGCTTTCCAGTACTCCCAGATTTTCAATGGTTCCCCAAATGATATCAGTCTATGATGAATACTATCTCTTAATTAAAAATCTCTATTCATTTCAAAGATAAGTAGTTATAATTTATTGATTAATGACTTCATATTTACTGAGTAATCCTAC